CTAAGACTTGAGGATTGAACCGCAACCACATATAACTGTGAGCCTCGACCGATACGGCTTGGGGCTTTGAGATGAAGGGCTTTGGGTTGCCAAAAATATAATCCCTCGAAGGTTCTTTCGGGTTCAGACGTGTACGGGTCCAGGTCTACGGTCTAGGGTCCAAGGTTGCAACATACAGTTAACCTAACCCGACGTCCCACTGTCAACCTGAACCCCGCGGTTTGTCGCAGTGTTCTGAGGTCATGACAGAAACGGCCACGCTGCACCAAGCTGAAACCAGCACGGCCTGCTAAGATACACCAGCTGCAAGACCCGACCCTCTACCTAGGGGTTCCAACATCTTCCACCACTGCTGCTATCACCACAACTTCTACTACTGCTGCACTACTAGTACTGGTACTCCTTCTAGCGATATTGCCACTCTTACTAATTACTACTACGGCTACTACTGCTACTGCGACTGCTACGACTGCTACTGCTACTGCGGCTACGACTACGACAACAACAACCAAAACTGACTACTACAACTACCACTACTCCTGCTGCTGCTCATGCTAATACTGATACTAATATTACTTGTAGTGCGTACGAGTACTAGTACTGATACTAGCTCGAATACTAAACCTAAAACTAATACTCATGCTCATACTACTACTATCACTGCGACCAAGTACTATTACCGCTTCTGCGACCACTTCTACAAACTACGAGCGCCCCCACCACCACCACCACCACCACCACCACCACCACCACCACCACCACCACCACCACCACCACCACCACCACCACCACCACCACCACCACCACCACCCCACCACCACCACCACCACCACCACCACCACCACCACCACCACCACCACCACCACCACCACCACCACCACCACCACCACCACCACCACCACCACCATACGGACATCGCTGCATTCAGCGGTTTCGCAAAACCAGCGCCGATTGCCGCTGGTGGATAGGGTTTTACTGTAAAGCCTTCCTCCAATGCTTCGACTATGTCAAGAAAAACTTCTCCTCTGAGAATTGCTGCCAGATTCGGGTTCATGGACTGGCTGAAGTAGGCTTCGTACCCAAAGTTAGTTCCCCCAAGCTGGGCCGCGCACATAGCCCAGCCAAATCTCCGGGAACCAGTCGGCCGGCAAAAAGATTGAGAGCACCTCCAGAATCTCCCTGGTGCTTAGTAGGGAATGGGGGAATGGATCCCTATAGTAGCCCCTACATAATCCCCAACAATAGTCTCCATTCCCGCATTCCCTACTAAGCACCAGACAGGAATTCCAAAATCCGAATCCACTGGCTGGGGCGTCTCTGCAAAACCCTGAGGGTCCATGTACCCAAATAGTATATACATTGGCCTTAAAGTACTCCCCATATGGGTACATTGGGCCCAAAGTATATACTATTTGAGTACATGGACCCTTAGGGCAAAAGGTCTAGGAGCCGATGCGCCGAGTCGGGGTGGAGTGGAAGTCGCAAAACTACCTGTAGTCTCCATTGGAGTTCCTTTTTTTTAGGTTTAACCAAATATATAATAAGGATCCTATAAGGTATACAGGTAAAGTGTCTTCGGGCTTACATCGGAAGTAGCCACGTAAGTAGAAAAGCAACTGAGAAACGAGTAGCTAAGTAGCGAACTCTTACAGAAGTCAGTCAGCAAGTAGATAAGTTCACGAGCAAGAACTTACGTCAGAAACATGAGTAAACAGTCAAGCACACAAGCGCAGGAAAACAAGCAAACGTAGGTGAACGTAGGTGGGTAGGTGGCAGGCGCGTAGACCAGAAGACAGCAAACAGGTACGTGGTTGGTTAGTACGGTTTGTACGTAGGTACTAGGTAGGAAGGTAGGTCTGTAGGCAGGGAGGTACGTTTCTGTAGGTAGGCCCGTAGGCTGGTAGGCAGGGTAGGTAGTAGGTAGGTCGATGGGAAAACGGATTCGCACTTGGGGAAGGCAATTTCTCCCTCAAGAGCAAGCAACGCATGTAGGGTCCGCATGACAAATATCCTATTCTTTTTAGGTTATGTGACTTTTGCAGTACTTTGCAGACCCTATCTTCTGAAGCTTCCAATGAGGCACCGGGAAGCTTTGGCCGTAACTCCGGATCCAGCGTGCTCTGAAGCTCCAACTTGTTCAAGATAGGCACTGCTGGGCTATCTTTCGTCGCATCGATTCAACCCTGAACAAACTCAGAAGCTAGGATTCTCTAAGGGTACCGGGTTCAGGTGCAGAGCCTAGGGCTTCATGGGTTTTTTGGTAGTCGGTTCTGCACCTGGGCCACGATTCCGAAGAGTGCCGGCGCAGCTGTCCAGGAGGACATATGCCTTCAAACCCGGCTATATGATGCATGTGCACCAGAGAAGCATTGCAATACTGGCGTCTTTCAGATTGGGAAATGGTAACCGGGCAATGGTGATCTGTGTCGTTATCAGAAGTCACTCTCCTCAAGGATCAAACCACCATGTCCGTCGGCCCAACTGTTTTATCCTATGTTCCTCCTTTGTACTGCAACCGCATCTTTGTGCCCCATATCACAACACCCTCCGCAACGAACTTCACCATCTTCAACATCGCAACGGTTGCTGTTATGAACCTAATTATTCGCATCACTGCCCGTGCATGTAGTTTGGTAACCAAAGCTACAATCATCATCATCGTCGTCATAAGCATCGTCATAGTCATCGTCATCATCATCACCATCACCATCACCATCACAATCCAACTCACCAGCATCATCATCATCATCATCGTCATCACCCTCATCATCATCATCACTACTACCATCACCATCATATTCATCTTCGTCATCATCATCACCTCGGCCATCAACATCACCGCCATCATCATGATTATTACCATCACCATCATCGTCACAGCCTTCGTCATCGCCATCTTCAATGCCATGGTTGTTGCCATCGTCATCATCATCATCAGCGCCATGACGATTATCATCGTCATAGTCATCGTCAGTATCACAGCAATCATCAGCATCATCATCCTCAGCATCACCTTGTGAATCAAAACCACTATCATCAGTTTCAACATAAACATCATCATCATCATCATCATCATATCCATCGTCGTCATCATCATCACCAGCAGTACAACGACCACCACATCACAAGTGCAGTACTACCTCGGTATCATCTGTCATAGAGCTGTTTGACATTATCGGCGGCTGCGGCATCGTGCGTCGTCGCACGACACAAATACCAGCAAACAACGGCAAGTTTTGCATCAGAGTAGTAGATTTTCAAAGCAGACGCAGCAATGGCCGTGCGCCACCAGCGACTAGGTCGAATGGGCTGCGGAACACAGCTACATTCGGTTAACCCGACCTTCGCCAGCCGAGGTGTAGCGAGGAAGCCTGCAGAAGCGGCTCTTGAGTTGCACACTTTCGGGCATCGCTTAGACGATAGTCTTTTTTGTTGAAGCCTCTTTTATTTCATTAATTAGACGGTTGTAGAGCTCAGGATTTCTGATTTGGGGCCTAGGGCCTAGGGCTGGATCAGCTGAACTCGAGCTGTGATGAACACCAAAAGTCATCGTTTACGACGTTGTCAGCTTTGTGCTCAGTCGCAGATTCTTAAAGCGATCCCCCCAGCCCATGCAGTTCCACACGAGTACGCGTGCATGATGCACAAATGCATGGTAGAAGGACCCCGACGCCCTAACCCAACTCCTTCCCCAACCGAAGCTCATGGGCTCAGGTGTTTCATCGCTGAGGAGATGTGTGCGCACACGGTAAGACTGTAGCCATGACATACATGGAGAATTACATCAAGGACTTATGCCGAAATGCCCTGCCTGAACGGCAGACGGTGAGGAAGGAAGCTACATCGCAACTGCCGAGTTAAAGCAAGCACACATGAATCAGCCCTTCGATAAGAGTATGTATGGACTAGACTTTCGAAGTGCTGAGACTAAATCAACAATATGCTCCCACGAAGGCCACATCGTTGCCTCTAGAAGCCGTGACACTCAAATCCGAGACTTCGAAGATCATCCACAAACCCGACACCCTAAACCCTAAACCCTAGAACCCCTAAACCCTAAACCCCTAAACCCTAAACCCTAAACCCCTAAAACCCCTAAACCCCTATAAACCCCCAAACCCTCAAACCCTAAAACCCCTAAACCACACACCCTCCTCTTTGTCGGCCTGTCCCAGGGACTCTTCTGCGTTCGGCTTGGCAGCCAACGCCTCGCTGCCTGGGCCACCGACCCGAGGGAACAGCATGGTCTCCATCCCTAAGTTTACTAAGGGGTTCCTTTAAGGGTACCATAAGGTTTCCTTTAAAGGGATCTATCAGGGATCTATAAGGGTTTAGGGTATAAGGGTCCATGTACCCAAATAGTATATACTTTGGGCCCAGTGTACCCATATAGGGAGTACTTTAAGACCAATGTATATTCTATTTAGGTACATGGACCCTTAGGGCATTGTAGTTCCTTTTTGTGGTTTATGGTTTAACCAATTATATACTGAGGATCCTATGGGGTAACCCCCAAAAGGAACTACAATGCAGACTACAGGTGTTCTTCAGCTTGAAGAAGGGGTACATTACACTATAAGTTATAAGATATTATGAGAAGGATGTGTGGCAGATCTCGGTTTAGGGCTTATAGGGATTATAAGGGTTTGGGGTTTAGGGCCTTTTAGGGTTTGGGGCTTTAGGGTTTGTAGGGATTACAGGGTTTAGGGTTTAGGGCTTTTTAATGGTTTGGGGCTTTGGGGCTTGTAGGGATTATGAGGTTTAGGGTTCAGGGTTTAGGATTTAGGGTTTATGGGTTGAGCATTCATCATGTTGAAGAAGGGGTACATTATACTGTAATTATAAGAAGGATCCCCCGAAGTAGTATAGGTAATTCTTAAGGGAAGCCTCAAACAAAGGCAAACCCAAAGGGGCACTGTTGGGGAACCTACTGCAGCGGCAGGACCTAAATCTGAGAGAACCTGAAGCCCGAACCCGCAAACGCCGAAAATGCCAGGCCCTTAGCTGGGAAGCACGTCGATCAGGTAGCCATCACGCATCAGTTTGAAGACATCGCAGAACTGGGCAAATGAAATGGGCTGAATCAAACACAGGAGCCTCAACTTGGTGTATATCATAGCATAGGTATGATAAGGAGACCCCTAAACCCTAAACCCTAAACTGTAAGGGATAATAATTTCGGCATCCATATTAACCTGCAGGGCCTATATGGAACGTGCACGAAATCCTCACAGATGGGCCTTACTCTTCGGGGGAGATCTGCATAGGTTGTAAGCACAAGGCCCTAAGGCTCCATGTACCCTTATAGTATATACTGAGGCCTTAACGTACCTAAAAAGGGGCCCCTTTAAGGCTTAAGTATCTACTTCAAGGGTACATGGAGCCTTTGGGAGGCTAGTCTCCACCACTTCGCATCTCACCAGACTCTTAGGATGCATTTCGGTGTGGGTTTAGGGTTTAGGGTTTAGGGTTTAGGGTTATAGGGTTTAGGGTTTAGGGTTATAGGGTTTAGGGTTTAGGGTTTAGGGTTTAGGGTTATAGGGTTTAGGGTTTAGGGGTTTAGGGTTTAGGGTTTGCTAATTTGATCATGGAACGGCCGCTTGGCGGAAAGCAGCCTTCAATCATGAACCTCGGACCTAATAATTAAGAGACCGTAGACCGTACCATAGCCCGACACTGCAAACACAAATGCAGCGACTATACTCATAAGGTTAAACTAAGGCCTAAGGTTTTGGAAACGACAATATGACCCCTCGCAGTCCCTGCCGTTCGAGTCGAAAGATAGGACGCATGTACATCTCCGCTTAGTATAGGTGCCTTACAAAAAAAGAGTGGGGTTTTGGGCTATGTTACACTTTTAATACAAATTGACAAGGAAGAGCCCCCAAAAGAGTATAGGCAATTATTGATTCCCCTATATTGCAAATCACAAGGAAGTTGAAGCTTCATAGGTAATTTGCGCAGGCTTCCCCTAACGTAGAAGCCTGAATAATTACCAATACGTTCCTTCGGGTACAAGTATAACAGCAAAATACACCTCAAACCCCATTCTGATTACCAATGCCCCGACGTGGCTATTTTGCAGCTACCCTTATACGGCAACCGTATCAATAAGGAGCCTGATTCTAATTATTGAGGCCCCAATGTTCCCCACCTCTCCGAGTGCTGCCAGGATCAGGAGCGTCCGATCCTGCCTGGTCAGAGCCCCCAGGCGCCCCAGTTCCTAAAAAGTACTTGGACGTTCAAGGGTAATCACAATTGGCTTTTATTTTTTTTGGAAAGACCTCGCTAGTTATAGGTAGGGTTATAAGTAGGGTAACTATACTTTTCACTGCCGTTGAGCCTCCAAGAAGGCTTTATGATCTGTAGGCTTGAGGGTGATTTCAGGATTTAGGAACAGTAGCCCTCTGAACAAACGTCTCCAGCGAGAGTGCTCTCGTTTGCGGGTTGATGAAAGGAATTGTGATTATCAGTGCTACGGTTGAAACTTACACCTGAATCGTTCTTGCTACCGTGTGTAGCTACCAGGTGGGCATAGGTCTGTGCGAGATCAACTGGTATCTGCTTCCGTTCTGCCGTACTGCTACGCCAGATTGGGCAACCACTTGTTGTAGAGTGGCACCAGGGCGGACAAACCGGGGCGACATAGCTGCTTTCTCTCCAAAGCTATACATGCATCAGAACGTTCTGCTACCAAGAGGAAACTTCTCTGAGGCTATGCAGCAGTGTACTGGAGACCGCCTGTCTTACTTGCTCACTAGTTTCAGAAAATGAGCGACCCCGCTATAGAACCCTCAGTACCTACTTTTGAGACCCCTTCCTCCCCATTCTCGCTGCTTGTCATGAAACTGACGAGCAAATATTTGAAACCAGGAACCCTAAAGCCTAGACACTGGACCTGTAAACCCGACAAAAACGCGAATCTCTAAGCTCTAATACTTACGACCACACCTTGAGAAGGCTGATTTTGCCGGCTGTCCGTTCAGCCTCTTGGCCTCTCAGGGAGACCGGTATCGGGGCCTCAATGCTTAGAATCAGTTGGAGGTATCTTACATTATATAATGGTAGTAAGTTAAGGAACCCCCAAAACCTATTTCCTACATGAGGCTCACTTTGAAGTAGATGGTTGAGGCGTCAAGTTTTGGGATTAAGGGTTCCGGATTCAGATGTGCCCGCCCTTTGTGCCCCGGTCGACCCCCTCGGTGCCATGCGAAGCCCTTGCAAAGTCTCCTTCATGAATTCTGGCCGGAACGAACGACGAGAAGCAGTGCACTCAGGACTCTCAGACCCATGTCTCGGTCAAAGCCCATTCTGAAACCTGCAGGCTTACTCCAGGAAGCGCCGAAAAGCCATGAAACCTCAAAACCCTTAACGTCGGCTTGAGACGCGTGCTAACGCAGGATGGAGAGGGATGCTGTGCTTGAGGCAGGTAGGGATCTGCGAAACTATACGAAACTCTGACTTCCGCAACTCGGAATTGCACATCGGACTTTGGTACTGCTGCTTAGTAGGCAATCCGCACAGTGCACCTCGTCTAAGCTGCTTCCTGTCCCTGACCCGGCGCCCAAAAAATAAACCCTGTAGATAGCAACGTGGACTCTAGCATGCGATTTATGGGGAGTAAGTTCGGTCAAGTTCGGTCTGTCTGCCCACACCCGAGCCGTGGCTTTTTGATACAAACCCCCAAGGTCAGCAAGTTCCTACTGACAACTCAGTTCCGTGTATTGGGGTTTCAGAAGCGAAGGGACCTTGAGTTGTGGGATACTTCTTCTTAGTTGCTGGGTTCATAAGTCACCAAAAGTGTACATTTTTAGTTCTATAGTGGGTAATATTCTCCCAAAAAGTGTAAGTGTATCCACTCAGCTACTAAGTCTTATGAGCACCCCTCAATTGAGCCTCTCAGCGCTGTGTAAGTTCGTTGCACAGTAGCCCTGGAGCAGCAATTGCCGAGCCTGGAATCTGTGCAAAGCGTTTGCCTCAGATTCGAGGCAGTCACATGCCACAAGTGGAAAGGCGACATTCAGGCTTGCTCTTGCTCCGAAACCCATACTGGGACCCAGGCGACCGGCCTGAACAACATCACACTCTCCAGCCCAGCTGGATAGAACATGCCGCTCGGTTTCTGACAATGGGGCGGAGTCCACATGTTTCGGATCTCGTCACTCTTACGGATCTGTATTAGGGTCCCCAAGTGCCCATCTCAGGCAAGCCTTGCAAGCATGACATTGAGCTCGATCTGAGCTCGTCGCAGAGGACAGCGTCGAGCTTGTCGCAAGATGATCGGAAACTCGAACTGCCTGCATCGACACCACTTGGCCGATGCAGGCGTTCTTTGAGGTCGTCATACTTGGAGGATCATGGGACCTAGTAAGTAAGGTTATAAGTACCTTATTTGGGGTTATAAGTAGTTATAAGTAGACTTACCCTAATTATAACCCTATAGTTACTAAGTCCCATGATCCTTTCAGTAGGTTTCTATCAGAGTTGCCACCCCTGCAGAGGCATCCAGTTGTTTACAGTCAGCTCAATCAAACCTCGAGACACAGGAACGATGTCTCCAAGCCGAGCCGTATGCTAGACTCCGGCAGTGGTATGCAGTCTACGGTTTACGGCAAGTATCGAGGCATTTCAAAAGACCTTGGAATGGTCTTTCCAATGGTCCGTGTGATGCTCGGCCGCATCAGCTGATGGCGGGTGTAAAGCCAAACCCTAAACTTCGCGGCTTACTGCCGCCAACATCATCTGCACTGAACAACCCCTAAGGGTCCATGTACCCAAATAGTATATACTTTGGGCCCAATGTACCCATATAGGGAGTACTTTGAGGCCAAAGTATATACTATTTAGGTACATGGACCCTTAGGGAACTGTGTTTCTATACCCACCTCGGGGCCGGGGCAGTTGAGAAGACGGTCCCAGCTGTTCTGTAGCACCGGACCGGAGTCCTGCGGGTTTACTTGGAGGATCATGGGACTGAGCAAGTAAAGTTATAAGTACCTTAATTGGAGTTATAAGTAGTTATAAGTAGAGTTACCCTAAATATAACCCTAGTTACTAAGTCCCATGATCCTTTAAGCAGGCTTTTGTGCTTCGGGTTGAGGTCCTTGAGGATGCGAGGTAAAGCCCACGGCTCGAGGGTTTTTGGGGTCAAGGGTTTGGGGGGTTTGAGGGTTTAGGGCTTGAGGGTTCAGCGGTCTTGGGTTTTGGGGTCAAGAGTTTAGGGTTTGGGGGGTTGAAGGGCTTTGGGTTTGAGGGTTCAGGCTTGTAATGCCTGGGTTCACCCTAAACCCTAAACCCTAAACCCTAGACCCTAAACCCTAAACCGTATATTCTCAAATCTCAAGATGTGCATTCACGCCAGGATCGGCTCGGGGTTCTCCGTCTACTTACAGGGCTCTTTAAAGGGATCTATAGGGTTCCTTAAAGGGATCTATAGGGTTCCTTAAAGGGATCTATGGGGTTTAGGTTTTAGGGTCTACTTAAAGGATCATGGGACTTAGCAACTAGGGTTATAAGTAGGGTAACTCTACTAAAAAATATTTAACTCCAAATAAGGTACTTATAACCTTAGTTACTAAGTCCCATGATCCTCCAACTTCTGTAGGGGTTACTTTGTTGGCGGCTCCTTGCTTTAATGCTAGTATAAATAATTACCTCCCAAGCCCTATTCTAATTCCCGTTAATTGCAGGGGCCTTTATTACCAATACTTTTTGGGGGGTTCCTTGTTATAATTATAGTATAAATACCCCCCCCAAACCCTATTCCAATCATTAAGGCCTATATCTTACTGGCCACTCAGACACGACGCCATGCGATGCCTAAATGAGGAGGAGGGCCCTGAGTGTTGAGCGTACTGGTTCAGAAATTTCGCGGGCTGATGAACCCTAAAACCCCTAAACCCCATAGGTACGTCGAACGTGACACTGAAATCGAAACCTCAACATGAATCTGCGATCAAAAATGGCTGTACAGCAAAAGACGGGCTCTCCAAACCACAGCCCCCATATGGGTGGTTGTCAAGAATTAATGTTTCTCTTTGGGTCCCTAACATAATACGGCACCTAATATTTAGGATACCCAAAAAGGGACCTTCACTTTGACAACCACCCATATCCCTAAACCCTAAAGTGCTGCTTTCATGGACCGATCTTGAAGCCCGAAGCCGCAACCTGGAAAGAACAAAGCCCCCACAGCACCTGCGAAGAGTCAGGCTACCTAGAAAAACCCGCCGCCCCGCCCGCCCCACCAAAAAAGTCCAAAATTGTAAAACTCCGAACCTTAAGTAATCGAAGCTTAAGGACCAAGATCCAATGTAAACCCGAACTGCCATATCACATAAAACTCTAACATGCGCAACCCGTAGCCGCCCAATATAGAGGCCTTGATCATTAGACTTGGGTTGCGGCATCGGAGGGTTCAATGCTGTTCATACTGTCACTAAGACTGCATTCGGAGCTAGAAGGGGATACCCTTCCCTAAGGGTCCATGTGCCTAAATAGTATATACATTGGCCTTAAAGTACTCCCGATATGGGTACATTGGGCCCAAAGTATATACTATTTGGGTACATGGACCCTTATACCCTGAACCCTTATAGATCCCTTATAGATTCCTTTAAAGGAACCCTTATGGTACCCTTAAAGGAACCCTATTTGGGTACATGGACCCTTAGGGCTTGCGGATATTTATGCGACTCCAGCGTTAACACCGCAAGCTGTCGTCTGACGGTCCGGTTCTCGCTCGGGCCAAGCATCGTTAGCCTAACCATGAAGTTTAGGGTATAGGGTTTAGGGTTTTGGGTTTAGGGTTTTGGGTTTAGGGTTTTGGGTTTAGGGTTCAAGACCATGACTAGGATACCCAGTTACCTAAGAATAAAAAGGCCTCTCTTTTTGGTATTGGGTAACTTTGTAAGGAACCTAGGACTACAAAAAGGGAATAAGGGTACTACTGTGAAGTTTCCTAGACCCAAGATTAACCTAGGAAGAAAAAGGGTGCCCTGTTTGGTTTAAAGGGGGTTATAAGGGAACCTAAACCCTTAAAAAGGGAATAAGCGCCTACTCCGGGTCCTATTTTCAAGACTCTTGCAAGTGGGGGCTTGTAAATTAGGGGTCCCTGAATTAGGCGTCCCTTTGTTCAGGATCCTGCATCTTACCCAGAGGGTCCGTCTACACTACCACTATGGGATTAGGTCCCCAAGACTAGAATAAGGATGGTCTTTTGGGACCTATTCAATTATAGTAGTGTATATGGACCCTCTGGGTTAGATAACGATAGCAAACAGGGCCCCCGTTTTCTAACTCCCGAGAAGCTCAGTTGCCCATGTTGTAGTGGTCCTTGGGCCTGCGATAGAAGCCACACCGGGCCGAAAGTAGCCGATGGCTTTAGGGTTAGGGTATAATGGGGTTTGGGATTTAGAAGATCCAGCCCTGGCAGCCACCTGCTGCGAGTAACGCCCCGCAAGCTCAGGAGCATCTCCGCAACAGCAAGCCAGAAACATGATGCCCCGCGCCTCGTGCTTCGCTACCCAGATGGAACGGCCCTGTCGTGGTCTTTCGGGATAACCAGCCCTAAGCGTCCGTGTACCTAAGTAGTAGTATATACATTGCCCTTAAAGTACTCCCTGTAAGGGTAAATTGGGACCAAAGTATATACTATTTGGGTACACGGACCCTTAGGGCAGTGGATCCTAGATCATTCCGGGCTTCAGTCTCCAGATCTCTTTGTGGGCGGGTAGGTGATTTGAACTACACGCTTCACTCCCCAAGCCCTAAACCGGCTCAATCCCTAAAACCTAAGCACAAACCCCCCAGTTCCCACTAGCCGTACCACTCACGACAGAAAGAGCGAGAGAGAGAGAGAGAGAGAGAGACACAGACACAGACGCAAACACAAAGACAGAGAGAGAGAGAGAGAGATAACAGCAAGTTCGGGTATGCGTCGTCTTGCCAAGGGCTTGGAAGTCCTGGAAACCTAATCTGGGCCTGGGCTCCAGCTTCGGATGTAAACTGCAGCGAGGGTTTCGGATTCTCGGGGATTTAAGAATCCATACCTGGACCCCGAAAGCCCTAAAGTATGAAGAATAATGGCAGAGTATGGGTATTGGGCCATTATTTTACCTACTTTGGCGGGGGGTTTAGGTAATGAGCATGCTGCACCACTGGTACCAAACATAGCATGGGTACTCTCCGGGATTCTTCGCGGACTTCTGATTGTCAAACATGTCCGGTATCGGGATGGTGCACCACGGTCAAGAATACTATCTAGGTCTGAACACCTATATAGCTTTTACCCCGCTTGTGATACTATTCTCTATGCTGGGTATCTATCCCCATCACTAAGGAGTTCCCTACATTGGAGGGTCCTGCATGCGGATTTGGGGCTCACGGAACTTATGTTTTAAATTCTGTGCCACTCCACTCAGCTGAGGTGGGCTGCTGCAGGGACTTGACAGGTTTACTCTGGGACACCAAACTTCCTACCCTGAGCCCTAAACCCTAACCTAAACCCTAAACCAACATGCGGTAAGGCGCGCTTCTGCAAGATGCAGGGTCCCCTTGTCGCTGCTGGTTGGGGAGCCTAGATCTTCTGGAGCTTTATACAGGGGCCTTAATAATTACCTATACTATTTTGGGGGTTCCTGATAACTATGGCAGAATGGGCCCCAAAACCCTATTCTAATGAATTACTAGGGCGCCTATATTATATGCTTGGCTTTCCATGATGAGTTTGGCAAGATTCGGATGACACAGCCCTGGCCCAAAGTCATCTATGTCAGTTCTAGGATACCCAGTAACCTAAGAATAAAAAGGCCTCTCTTTTTGGTATTGGGTAACTTTATAAGGAACCTAGGACTACAAAAAGGTAATAAGGGTACTACTGGGCATCCTAGAGTTTCATGTCTAAACAGCGGCGTACTGGATTGAAGCCCGCTCCCCTTAGGCCTAAATCTTTACCCAAGAGTCCAAAGGACCCAATAATTCGATCTATAGGGGTTCCTTTAAAGGAATCCATAAGGGATCTATAGATCAGGTACTCGGTTCTAGGACAGTAGTTATGTAGGTTAGGATTTTGGAGAGTATATGATTATTGGGTACTTGGACCCTTGGGGTTTAGTTAGCTAATACAACACCCCAAAACTACCCCAACCCAAAAAGTCTAAACCGAAAACGAACATGAAGTAGGCCTTGACTCGGCTGCGCAGGTACCACAGGAAGGGCTCCTTCATGACCTCCTCACTTTGAGGTTAAGGGTTGGGGGTTTAGGGTTTAAGTTTCAGCAACTCCACTTCGAGCAGTCGAGCTCACTACTTTTGATCATCCCACGCACCCACAGATTCCAATACCATTTAGAAACCGTTTTACTTGCTTCCTTTAAACCGCTGGCCGTAAATCCTGAACCTCACATCGAAACAATAAGGCCTAAATCTAAGGCCTATGCCCTAAGGCCAAAACCATAAGGCCGAAACCCCCGCAACCCTAAGGCCTAAACCCAGGCCTAAACTCCAAGGCCTAAACAACTCTATGGCCTAATATAGTGTAGCTTCACAGCAGGGGTACCTTTTAGGATGCATCGGCATCACGCCATGTCCAGAACTCCACTCCAAGCTCCGTGTCTTCGAAGCTCTTAAAGTAGAAAATCAAGTTCGAGACTCCTGGAACTTGACAAACACTCAATTTTGCGAAGTAAGTTGAAGACCCTAAACCCTACACGCTAAAGCTGTATGACCAAAGGGTCCCCCAAACCCCGGACCCTCGTAAAAACGTGGCCTTAAAACGAACAGGGCTTCGGGGACCGTTACACTATTATTCTAACAAGGAACTCCAAGGAAAAATATTTGGTAATTATAAGGCCCCTATGTTATAGAACCCTTATAGTAGCCCTTATAGAACCCTTCAAAGGAGCCCCTCAAAGGAATTATACGGCCCCTATACTAAACCCCCATAAAGTTAGCAACTACCATCTCCTTTTTCTAACCATGCACACCGCCCTATGCCACCCTAAGACCCAAAACCACATTATTGTTTGTAGTACTACTATTATCAGTATTATAACTAGTAGTACTGTCGCTAAAATTTTCATGATTATCACTACTACTAATTCATATTACTGTGGCTATTTGCTGTGAACAGAAGACAAGGCAAACTCAAACACCCCTGGAGACTGAGCCAAAGTCATAACCGCCACCAAGAAACATGCTGAAGCCAAAAACCACGAGTAAATACCGCAACCAAAAATAGTAGCAGTTGTACTCCTAGTTAAAATAAAAAACAACAATGACCCAATGACCACTAGTGCGATTCGTAGGTATTACTTTTTGGCTTCATCGCCGTTGCCACCTTAATTCCTATGCTGGAGATTTTGCTAGAGAATACCATTTCCATTTTCTAGGGTTAGGGATTTCGGGTTGGGGAATATGGTTTGTATATGGGGGTATTGGTTTATGGGTTTGAGGGGTTGTGTTTTTTCCTATGTGGGCCTTCCCATGGGTCTTCTGGTGGTTCCATCCTAGGGGTCTTGGTGTGGGTCTTTGAGAGGGTTTAGGGGTGAGGCATAGGTTGTTATGGTTTTATGTCTTCGGGTGGCCTAGGGGGGTGGGCATGGTTAGAAAATGGAAATGGTAGTTGCTAACTCAGAGTACCCCTTACAGTAATCCCTACAGACCCCTTTAAAGGAGCCGTTTAAAGGAACCCTAGTCGAATTGTGAAGGCCCCTACATTAGAGCACGCCTCGCGGCTGGAGAGTGCAGGCTTTTCACGCCCATCCTTTACTGCCATGGCCTCCTGGAGCTTGGGCAAGCAGAAGAAGAGTAACATAGGAGCCTAGGGTTCCTTTAAAGGGGGTTGGGAGCCTAGGGTTCCTTTAAAGGGGGTCGGGAGCCTAGGGTTCCTTTAAAGGGGGTTGGGAGCCTAGGGTTCCTTTTCAGGAGTCTCTGAGCCTACGATTCCTTTAAAGGGGGTTAGGAGCCTAGGGTTCCTTTAAAAAGGTTTTATGAGTCTAGGGTTCGTTTAGAAGGGGTCCTTAAAGGGCTACCATAAGGGATCCACAAAGGTACGAAAACCCTGGAGCTTGGAAAAGCAAAAGAACTGCAACTCTAAGGGGTTTAGGGTTTAGGGGTTTAGGGTTTGGGGTTTAGGGATTCGGGCTTTGGGTTTAGGGTTCAAGGCTTAGGGTTTAGGGGTTTACTTGGAGGTTCATGGGTAGTCATAAGTAGGGTTTTAAGTAGGATAGCTATGGTTATGACCTATATTACGGGACTTATAACTACCCATGAACCTCCAAGTAGGGTGCAGAATGCAGGGACAAGCGCAGGATCGAGGTGGTTGGTTTCAGGATTCCCGGGCGCAGGATTCAGGCTTGACGATGTGGTTTCACATGTCTATATACATATTTCTACATACATATATATATACATATTATATATATGTATATAGACAATTATATATATATATATATATATATATATATACACAGGGAAACAAATTCCCGGATTCATGGGGAGAAGTGGGCCATGGTGAACTTGAAGACTGAGTTTTCTGCCCAGAGTTCTACTTTACGTTGACCGAATGTTTGCAGAAAATGGTTAGCTTTGGACTTCTTCAGCTGCCGAACGGCTAAACGAAAAAGGTCCATTGCAGCGATCTAATGACATGGTCATCATGTTTGAGCCATGCAATCGGACACGAGCGGCGAGTTTGAGAGTCCAGGATAGTCGCTTAATGACTTACTGAACCGTGGCACCAGCCGTCCTAACCCCCAAAAAAGTAGTTCAAACAAATATCGCAACAATTAAATGAATATTTCAAACAATGAAAAAATATTGCAAACAATTGTCGCAACATTTCAAGAATATTTCAAACAATTGCCGAAACATTAAAAGAATGTTCGTAACATTGTTTGTCAAAACCGAACCTTTGTAACAATGGTTGTACGCGATTCTGGGGGTTAAACCCAACCGGGCTTTCTAAAAACACTCAACCCTAAATCCCCCAAACCCTAGGCCCTAAACCCTAAACCGTCGGAATCCTCCCATGCCGCCAGAACGCAGGCTCCCCCGCCTGGGGCTGAGCTTGCAGTGCACAAAGGAGCTCCATGACCTGTCAAATACTGGGCGAATCCTCCGCCACTGTGTGACATGAAGATTTGCTCCTTCCTTTACTGTATTATGACAACTTTGAATCAGAACGAAGTATTGCTGTGATGAAGAGAACGAAGATGATGATGCAGCTGAGTGGCGATCATAAACATTACATAGACGATGTGTAGTGGTGATGACTGGGATTTGGAACGATAAAGCGAACACAGCTCTCATTGCTGCTGCATTACATAAGGTTGGCCACTATTAGACCCATATACTATCTACGCCCATGTGTGTAACAGTGCGTATTTATATGCATATACATATATATATATATATATATATATATATATATACACATACATATATACATATATACATATATACATATATACGTATATACATATATACATATATGTATATGTGTATGTATGCACATGCTTCATGTCCAAAATCACTGCTCTTCTGCCTGACACCGTCTCCAAGAAATGCAACTGAGGCTTACTTCCGACACAACAAGCTGGAATATAGTACCCTGAATAATGGGAGCCTTCTTATACGGACCCCTTATAAGGCACGCTAATTTCCGGACACTCCCAAATCATGAATCGTTTCTAGAGCAACGTCCAGACGCAGGTCCCAAACCCTAAACCCCAAAGCGTCCTAGATACTGTTATGGGAAATACTTCCCCATATCGTGGTACTAATTCCTAATATCGAAACCCCACATTCTACAATATATATATATATATATATATACATGTATATAGGTACTTTGGACCCTTTGGGAACCCTAAACCCTGCACTGCCTCAACGCAGCCGTGCTTCGCATACACATCGGCCAGGAGCTTGTAGTGGTGGGTGCAAGGCTCTGCCGCCTTCGATTCGACTTGCAGACCCTAAACCCTAAACCCTAGTGGGGCCAAATTCAAATGATCATGGGACTTAGTATCTAGGGTTATAATTATAATTAGGGCAACTCTACTTATAACTTTATAAATACATATAGCCCCAGTTACGGTACTTATAACCTTACTTAAAAATCCCATGATCCTCCAGTGGGACCATACTTAGTATGATCCGACCATCGACAGCACGAAACAGTAGACTGAACGAGCAATAGTAACACACCCCGGAAGTTCATTTGCAACAAGCTGAACCCCCACAACCATAATATCCCTGAGCCCCTGGACAAGCCTTGACTTTATCGCCTTAAGCCCCCCATATGATTTCACACAGCCCCCACAAGCAAAAAACCTTCGCATCCCAGAGCCAAGCCAGATTCGTGCAGAGTATGTGTCACTCAATAGTTGGACGTCTTTCAGGAATTAGTCGTAGTAGTACCAGCACGGTGATTCGTAGTATGATCAGTACAACGTACTATACTATTATAGTTAGTAGGTTTTTGTCACAAATTCGTAGGTCTTCATACCCATCGTATTCTTAATTCTTTAACTTAGGTTTCTAAATTAGGGCGCATGTCCTCAGGGTCCACGCAGGCGAGGTCCACAGACAGCGGGTAGTTGTGCCTCACGGCCAAGTCCTGCAAAACAAGGCCCAGTACAGGGGCCTTCATGGTTTGAACAAGGCTTCTGCAGTGATTCAAGGCTTCTTTTATAGGGCATCTAGGGCCCTCCAAGGGCTCAATATAGGGGCCTTGATGGTTTAGGGTTTATAAAGGGTTTACTGTACTATTAGAGCAATTAGGTTTTTGATAGGGGTTCAGGATCTTCGCGATTACTGTGATCGTAACCGGTGTATGTGTTTAATTAGGGTTGATAGTCTGGCGGGGCTGGAAGACAGGCTTCATTTCTGCTTGAAGCGGAGTTAAGACAAAACTCGCGATTGTTACAAACCTAAACCCTACATCCTGACCCTAAACTGCTTCCCCAACCCAATAGACTGCGGGTGAGGCTGCGACAGATATACCCCAACACCCTCAACCTCAACCCGCAAATCCATAAACACCGTTTACAAACTTGAAACATTGAAACCTTGTAGAACATGTAGACTTAATCGCCCATGGACATGTTTAATAGCCTTTTAGGGCTTCATTGCTATACCAACAAAAAGAAAACCAAAAAACACCCTGAGGTACAACCCCGAATCAAAATAACCGTACCAATAAAGAACAATTCGTAGAACCCTAATCCCAAAGCAAACATAGGGTGTTGAGGAACTGGAGCGTAAGTGCTTAGATGCAGGAACAAACTAGAAAACATTGCATCGCCTACAAAGCCCGGAAAAATACAAACAAGCAAACCAACACACACACACACAAACAAACAAACAAACAAACAAACAAACAAACAAACAACCAAACAAACGAACGAACGAACGAACGAACGAACAAACACACACACACACACAAACAAACAAACAAACAAACACACAAACAATCAACCAATCAAGCAATCAAACAAACAAAAAAAACCAAACAAAAAACAAAGAAATATACAAACGTACACACACGCAAACAAACAACCAAACACACAAAACCACAAACAAACAAACAAACAAACAAACAAACAACCAAACACACAAATACACAAACACACAAACAAACAAACAAACAAACACACACAACTACGTAAACACACAAACAAGCAAGCAAACAAGCAAATAATCAAACAAGCAAGCCCGCAAGCCCGCAAGCAAGCAAGCAAGCAAGCAAGCAAGCAAGCAAAGACAAAAAACAAAACAGCACCAACAACACATCACACAAACACACAAAAACAAAAAAACACGCGCACACACACAACCAAGCAAGCAACCAAAACACACACAAAGAGAGAAAAAAGAGCACACACGCACACACACACACACAAACACACACACACACACACCAACAAACAACCACAAACACGCAACCACACAAACACACAAGCAAGCCAACAAGCAGGCAAGCAAACAAACACACACACACACACACAACAAAAGAAAGCAAAACAACACACAACAACCAACCAACCAACCAACCAACCAAGCAAGCAAGCAAGCAAGCAAGCAAGCAAGCAACCAAGCAAACAAACAAACAAACAAACAAACAAACAAGCAAGTACACAAACACACAAACACACAAATCAACACACAAACAAAAGAGCAGGCAATACACACACACACACACACATACACGATGCAACTTGGAAACGGGTCAAAGGGGTTCTTTGTCGGTCCTCCATCGCTGTCTCGCTTGCAGAAACTAGGGCGTAGATCCACCTTTAGATTAGTGAGTTCACGAGCTTGTGCAAGTCTTGCAAGCTCGCTTCAATGGCTGCTGGGCCTAACGGGCGCAAAATGCATCGCATAACGTTTAAGGTTCTGGGTCTGGTGGCAGGAGCAGCATGGTCAAAGCCCTCATAGTCCCAGCTGGGCAGGAGAGATACATGGTCGTGCCGATGGGGGATTCGATTTACCGCGACCTTTCGCAAAATGTCGTTTTGGACTGAGTTCCCTGGCGGAGGCTCAGCAGACCAGAGAAAAATCTCCGCACTTCTTGTCACACCTCATGCAACAAATACCTCGAACCAAGGGGTAGATGAACTGTTCATGAGAAGCTCCCGCGTGGTGTGCTTTATGGTTTGTCGATTCACACGGACCTGTGTGCTGCTCGGGAATGTGAAGGTTCACCTTCTGGGAATCCTAGGCATACAAACCCCAAAAGCTCAAGGTCTGGAAACGAGACCATCAAGCCTGCAACTTGTGCGGACCTTCATTCCCATGCACTCAAACAGCCCTTTGCTAAGGGCTGCGCTGGAAGTCCGTGGAAAAGACCAGCTCCACTATGAGACCGGAACCTGACATGAAGATCATGATTCCCGATTATGATCTGAGGTACAGCGTTTCGGGCTTAGGACTCAAGTATCAACTGCCCTGAAGGAAATTCGACAGGAATATCCCCAATCTCCTTACTTTTGCCCAACATGTCCTTTCGAGGAAGGTGCTCCCGAGCTGTAGGTGCTTGCGCGATGCGCTGCATCTGCCCAGGAGTATCCAATATACAGCAATCCCCACTTGAGTCCACAGACTTCGAGCACCATGATGCATGATCCGACACCCTACCACGGCCGCCGAAGCATGTAGAATAATCGCATTTTATAGGTATTGGGCCATTATTTTACTTTACCTACTTTGCGGGGTTTAGGTAAGAAGGCTGACTTGCCTATCAGAGTAAAGCGACAACAAGGCAGCATGGGCCTTTCGTTTCGTGCTTGCTTAAGTGACCCGAAGCCTGGGAACAAAGGACTGGGGTGCCGGCGCGCAAGCATTGCCACAAGCATGTTGCGGATCAGGGACCTGGGTTGATCCAACTGGTCAACTGAGTCAACGGAGCATAGAAACCCTGAGTCTCAATACATCCGAAACACTTCAGTTATAAGGGCTGTTGCTTGGTTTGGGTTGAGCTGCCCGCGCTACACCCGATGCACACAGGACCGCACTCCCACACATTCTGCTCAAACCGCAAACCCTCAACGATATACCCTTAGCTTCAAACCTCAACCCGGAACCCTACCTGTAGTCTCCATGGTAGTTCCCTTTTGGGGTTACCTTATAGGATCCTTAATATATAATTCGTTAAACCATTAAACCACAATAGGTAAAACCTGAAGCCTCGTTTTCTCACCCCTCCGCAACATAAACCGAAGCTATCTCAAGACACCAAGGCTCCAAAAACTTATAAGTCCACGCTCAACTGGCGGCAAGCGCTGAACCGTGGCTTCCTACATCCTGAAGCCAACAAACCCTTAACCCCCATTCCTGGAGATTCGATAACCCGGTCTCCTGCCAAGGATACGACTCTACTAATTACTGGAAGGCCTCTATTCATTGGGGCTTTCAGGTTGGGTTTCGAGTTTGGGGAGTAGTGTTTAGGGCTACCTTAAGCCGGACTAACCTACCCTTTTTTAAGGATTTATGTAAGGAAATCATAATAAGGGACCCTAAAAAGGTAGGTTATTCCGGCTTAAGGTAGGCTTTAGGGTATTTCACCCCCAAAGGCGCCAGACCCTACCTCATCCTGGAATACTTCAGGTTCAAGAAGCGGAGAATCAAGGATCACCACCCTCAGCCCCAAACCTTAAACCCTAAACCCTTTAAGCCCTAAAACCCTAAATTTTCAACCCTAAAACCCCTAACCCTAAGAGTGAAGAGTTCCCAACTGATGGTCTTAGAGCCGGGCAGAAGGTCCGTGGAGCCCGATAGGTTCGGGTCCATGGTATGATGGTAAAGTACATCTGCAGCACCTGGAGGAATCCCGGGGTTCGGAGCTATCTATCTTCCAGGTTTTAGGGCCTTTAGGATTTGGGGCTTAGGCTTCACGGTTTCGGGTTTAGGGTTAAGGGCTTTAGGGTTTTTCTTTTAAAGTGCAGTAGGCTTTCGGGTTCAGGGCTTGGGGTTTAGGCTTCAGGGTTTCAGGTGTAGGGTCCATGTCAGAAGCCCCTTCTTAAGTCCTGAGCAGCCCCTTGTTTCCTGCCCAGCTTGCGGCGCTTCAGCAACTCCTATGAGCGCTGAGCCCAGAGACTCTAATGTCCCTTAATTAAGGAATATACCTTAAATTAAGTAGAACCCCTAGTATGATTCAAGGAATATTCCTTAATTAAGTGATATTGGAGTCTCTGGGAACCCGCGCAACCCCTCAATGCCTTGAGCATTACAGCTGTAAACAAGCGCACAAATATCAACCTCAGGAGCCCAAAACCCGAAAAGCGGTGCCTGAACTACGAGAATATGGCTTGGGAGTATATTTTTACCACAAATTGCAGAGGAACTCCAGTAACAGTATCGGTAAGTGCTCAGATCCCAACTCGTCAATAGTGCAACCCTGTGCATAAGCATGAAGCCTTCGTAGGAAGCCAAGCCCATCTCACAATCATCCACGATGGAACCTGGCCGGGGGAGTCATGCGTTTCGGGCAGCACAAGAGAGTTCGGGAGAGGGGCTTTATGGCTTGAGAGTTGCGTTTCGTAGTTCAGAGATGAAGAAGTGTGGCTCTAAAGGGCTCCACTATGACTAGCACAACCCACGGACGTTTCAGAAAGTTTCCACGGTAGCATGTCGTCCATTAAACTGCGGTTATACAGCGAAGATGCCGAAACAGCACAACAGAATGCAGCGAAAGCAACAAACACCAAGTATGCAAACAAGACCTTCTGGAAATGAACCGAAACTCATACGGACAAGAATGACCACAGTGAGGCCCTACTTGCAACTACCCGAACCTTCAAGCACTTACGGGCATGAATGCGGACTTCTCGTCGTGCCTCTGGCGACCTCTTCGACGTCCTGAGTTTCGCAAAACATTGTGCATCGAATCAGCAGTTACTCAGTAGCCGTAAGGTTGTGAGGTGTTGCTGGCTTCTGCACGACATGCTAGCGCGAGATGCGGAAGTTCTGTCCAGTAATATAGGGGCCTTAACTTAACAATTAGAATAGAGTTTGGCGCCCATTGAACTATAATTACAATCAGGAACCCCCAAAACAATATAAATCACATAATTTAAGCGCCCATATTAACCGCTTCACTCCGCCAAGCCGCGCTCCAAGAAGAGACAGATAGGAGCACAGGAAAGAATCGATCTGGACGAAGGTGTCCGTTTCCTCCCTGTTTAGCGAGAGCCCTAGGGAGCACAATAGCCCAAAAGCCTTATATAGTATGGTCTTTGGGCCCGAGAACATTAATATATATATATATATATATATATATGGGTGGTTGTCAATATTAGGGTTCCTTTTTTGGGTCCTTATTATGATACGGTACCTATAGTATTTGGGGTACCCAAGTTTTCAAAAAGGGAACCATAGTTTTGACAACCACCCATATGAGCCCTTAGATCTCCCCTGTAGGGGAGAGTGACGACGACGGCCGAGGAAGTGCGGAGCCCTCTCCGGGTTTTCTTACATCAGAACAGAAGGAACTCAGCAAGAACCTTTCTTTCCTAGACCCAAGAGTAACGGCTGGCCTTTTTTGGGTGTAAAGGGGCTTATCATATAAGGGAACCTGAACCCTAAAGAGGGAATAAGGGCCAACTCTAGGTCAAGAATGACGGGTGCCCTTTTTGGTTTTAAGCGGCTTGTAAGGGAACCTGAACCCTAAATAAGGGAATAAGGGCCTACTCTGGATCCTAGCTTCTCAATACGACGAAGCTTCGCAGCTGCCATCAGCAACTTCCACGACTCGGACGGGTGAAACCGAGTTGGAAGTGGATGTACGTCTCGCTCAACCTTTACGACATGCTGGCCCACCGATTCCTGAAAACATGTAAGATTATTTTGACCTTAAGTCCTCAGTCGCTACATCATGGCGGAAATTGGTGGAGCTGGAATTCGTGGTACTGTATGTGTCTAGAGTCGTCAGGTCTCCAGGGCTGCGATAGGTGAGGATTTAAGGGCTCAAGGGCATGATATAGAAGCCGAAATCACTACCTATATTCGTCCTTTGGGTTCCTTGTTCTAACCATATCATAAAGGAGCCCCAAACCCTATTCTAATTTTCCAGACCACTACCTTACAGCACCCTGCAAGACGAAGAAACGACGGCAGACCAGAAAGTACTGAATATCGCGAAGCTCGCTCCCTGAGTCGGGATCCAACAAAACTATACCCCCACCCTGTCTAGGGTTCAGGGGTTCAGGGGTTTAGGGATTTAGAGCCATAATAAAACTAGAGGACAATTGGCCCGAAAGCATCATCAGCGAAGATTGTGGGGCTATGTGATAGATCCAGTGTATAGGATCGTAAAGTCACAGAGTCAAGAGTCATAGAGTCCATGAGTCATGAGTCATAAAGTCATAGAGTTGCAGTGAGATAGCGTCATAGAGTCGTAGTGAGATAGAGTCACTGTATAGGATCGTAAAGTCACAGAGTCAAGATTCGACCAAGTCAATCCCTGTGAAGGGTTCCGCGGGCACCGCAAAATGTGTAACTTCACCTCGCGTTCGAACACTCGACAACGCCAATCTGTGTGAAGGGTTGCAAAATTCATCTCAATGCTCATCCAAAAATTGCAACTTTACCTCGCGATCGAACACTCGATTTTGCAATCCCTGTGAGGGGTTGCAAAATTCATCTCAATGCTCATCAATAATTGCAACTTTACCTCGCGTTCGAACACTCCACCACACCAATCCCTGTGAAGGGTTGCAAAATTCAGCTCAATGATCATCAAAAATTGCAACTTTACCTCGCGTTCGAACACTCCACCACGCCAATCCCTGTGAAGGGTTGCAAAACTCAACTCAATGCACATAAAATAATCCATCTCAATGCTCGTCAAAAAATGCAACTTTACCTCGCGTTCGAACACCCGACCACGCCAATCCCTGTGAAGGGTTGCAAAATGCCAATCCCTGTGAAAGGTTGCAAAAAAAAATGAACTGCACCCAAACCCTGTGAAGGGTTGCGCGGCGCCCGCAAAATGTGTAACTTTACCTCGCGTTTGAACACCCGAGGAGGCGAATCCCTGTGAAGGGTTCACGGCGCCCGAAAAATGTGTAACTTTACCTCGCGTTTGAACGCCCGAGGCAGCGAATCCCTGGGAAGGGTTGCGCGGGAACCCTAAAATGTGTAACTTTACCTCGCGTTTCAACGCCCGAGGCAGCGAATCCCTGTGAAGGGTTCACCCGGGCGCCTAAAATGTGTAACTTTACCTCGCGTTTGAACGCCCGAGGAGCGAATCCCTGGGAAGGGTTGCACGGGCACCGCATTAAGTTAAAAAATGTGTAACTTTACCTAGCGTTTGGGCCCTCGCCCATGCCAATCCCTGTGAAGGGTTCACCCGGGCGCCTAAAATGTGTAACTTTACCTCGCGTTTGAACGCCCGAGGCAGCGAATCCCTGGGAAGGGTTGCGCGGGAACCCTAAAATGTGTAACTTTACCTCGCGTTTGAACGCCCGAGGAGGCGAATCCCTGGGAAGGGTTGCATTCCCGATGGACGACAACGGTGCCACCCCCTGGCTTTAAAGAGAGAATTAGATACCGAGATGTAGAGAGTAAGTCATAGAGGCATAGAGTCAAGTAAGTAAGTAAGTAAGTAAGTAAAAGTAAGTAAGTAGGTAAGTAAGTAAGTAACTAAGCAAGTCAAGTAAGTAAGTAAGTAAGTATAAGTAAGTATAAGTAAGTATAAGTAAGTATAGAGATAGCATAGAGTCCAGTGTCAAGTGTCAAGTAAGTTAGTAAGTAGATTGAAGTAAGTAAGTAAGTAAGTAAGTCGTAAGCATAACATAGAGTCAAGTATCAAGTGTAGAGTCAAGTATCATAGAGTCAAGTGTCAAGTGTAGAGAGTCAGTCATAGGGGTCAAGTAAGTAAGTAAGTATCAAGTGTAGAGTCAAGTATCAAGTGTAGAGTAAAGTATGGAGTCAAGTAAGTTGATTCTATGTCTGTCATCTATGTACTCAGCTGCGGCGTTCCACACGGAAGAACCCTTCGCGATGCTTTCGGGAAATCGTATCCTTAATATTCTCTTGGGCTTTATGTGAACAAAAGTTAAAAATGTGCCTAAGGAGACCATAGAAAACCAAAGCAGCCTGAACCATCCCTGCACCCGAAACTAAAACACTAAACATCTAAACCCAGTCCGATGGGCCCAGTCTTGAAAGACACAGTAGCTATCTATCTATATACATACGTGCATTGCATGCATACATAAACAAATATGTGGATATATCTATATATATATATGTACAAACTTTTTATGCGTATACAATATTACCTATGCAAACGAACAACAACAATATGAAACTTACAGCAGCTATAGTATGAGGCACTCTGCTCTAAGTGCGGGTCTACCCGGCGGAAGCTTCCTCCATGTGCAAGAGCACCTCGGTGTTGGCTCTCGCTTCACTTGGCTGAGCATCTACGGCATTAATAAAGAAGGTGTCTATATCACGTAACTTGGCATTTCAAGAAACCACAGATCCAGCCATCCTTAGCAGTGCCATCATCGGCATCGTCATAAGGATCAACATCATCGTCATCATCACAAGCAGCAGTAGGTTTCGCAAGGCCCGACTTACTCCAGCGAGGGTTTAGGGGTCTAGATCCTCTCTCTTCTGGAGTCGCAATGCTCCTACCATAAACATCCTAACTAAACCCTAGATGCTAAACTCTACACGGCGGATCCTTCACAGTGAGCCCCAAAAACTCATCCCAAACGTTTCTCTCTGAACCGTCAACTAGGATTCCCAGTAACCTAAGAATAAAAAGGCCTCTCTTTTTGGTATTGGGTAACTTTATAAGGAACCTAGGACTACAAAAAGGGAATAAGGGTACTACTGGGCATCCTAGCCCCTAATTTTCGGAAACCCTAAACCCTTTATAGATCCCTTTAAGGAACCCTTATAGACCCCTAAGGGTACGACTGGGCATCCTAGTCAATGCAAAAGCCTGAGGACCAAACGAGGCCGAGCCTCTTCAGCTTTCTTCGACTGTCGCAAGTTCGCGAGCTATACTATAGGGGCCTTAATAATTAGAATAGGCTTCCCTGTAAAGGGGTCTATAAGGGCTACTATAAGGGATCTTAGTACACTCTTCTTAAAGGCTTTTAGAGTTAAGGGGATTAAAGAAGTGCTTTCTTCTTTCTATGGGCTGTTTTTCCACCTGCAGTACAGTTGCAACTCCCCAGGATTCAAAAGGTTTAGGGCCTAGGGCCTAGGGGCATCTTCTTGAGGCATTAGGGGAAAAGGGGTTCAAAAGGCTTCGGGATTGGGGGGGCATCCTCCGAATACTAGACTGTTAAACTCGAAATCATCGCTCACATCTTCAACCTCCATCCTTAGCCTTTGACGCCACACCGCAGAGACTGACGGTTCAGGTGTAGAGTCTATGGCAGTTTCCAAGCATACTGTATTGGTCTGCTTTCCCACACTGAAAGCGCTGGCAGGCGATTCAAGGCCATGGCTACTTTCCGTTACGTTCAACAATAACCGCTTCACTGTTGCACTCCGGTCAAGCTGTAACCCCGAAGCCTAATCAATCATTATCCGTGCTCAGGAACAGCGAAGTCGAGACTCAGGGAACCCCGCAGGGACACCACGGAATCTGACCTGTCGGGCTTCGGTCATTGCGTCCGTTTGCACAGTACCCCCGAAACCCTACACCCCTGCTTAAAACATCATGGGACTTAGTGACTAGGGTTATAATTAGGGTAACTCTACTTATAAGTATACTTATAACCTCAATTAAGGTACTTATAACCTTAGTTACTACGTCCCATTATCCTCCAAGTATCCCCCTGAATCCCTAAACCCCTACACCCCAAAAGACGCAGCCCACCGCCTTCCGCGGGGTTTCCGGCACCGGTGGACCTGCCAACAAACGAGTTTGGGTTGCAAGTAATTACTTGGATCCCCAAAGTATGTAGAATAGTGGCCTTTTATAGATATTGGGCCATTATTTTACCTACTCTGGGAGGTTTAGGTAGAGGCGGCTAGTGCTTTTTTGAGGACCTTTTTCCAGCTGCAGTACAGTTGGAGAGCTCCAATGGAGCAGGCAACTAACTCTTGCAACCTCAGGCGTCACCCTCGTACTTTCAGAAGTCTTTGGCCCATGATCCCTTGTTCATCATCTTCGTCTGCGGCTAGTGGTTTAGCCGAAAATAGGGGACCCCAATAAAGCACCCTAAATAGTAGGATCCTTATTATACGGACCCCCAAAATAGGGTACCCCTCATTTTTGGAAACTCTAAACCCTAAACCCTGTATAGAACCCTTATAGATCCCTTTAAGGAACCGTTTTAGGATCCCTTTAAAGGTACCCCCTAATTTTTTGGGGTCTACTGTAGGAGCCAGGGCCTCGCCGCTGCTTCGGAATTCTTGCCGAGAGCTGATATACCGGAAGGTTTTAGGGTTTTAGGGTTTTAGGGCTTCAGGGGTTTAGGGTTTTAGGGTTTAGGGTTTAGGGGTTCAGGGGTTTAGGGTTTAGGGTTCAGGGGTGTGTCACAGTGCCACGGCGCGCCCCACCCATGGAGTGGTCGTGGGTCGCGCCGTCTTCGTAACGTGGAACCCACCCACAACCACCCGAAGCAGGACTAGAACGGGTTTTGTGTTCTGCTTCTTCTTATTCGAGTGCTGCACTAGCCGAAAAGACGTTGCAATGTTGCGGAACGTCAAAGGGACATCCGAGTGATGTAGTCACAAAATAGCAGCGACGCCCTCGCTCGTCCTCGCCGGCCGCCAGAGTCGTCCGTCAGCCGTCGTCAGAGGCGTCCGTCAGGGCCCAGTGCCAGGCCTCCAGAAGTGGTCTGCAGCCGTCCGCTGTCCGTGCCAGTCCGGCCAAGAGTGCTGATCACCCAGCCGGCCGCCAGGGTTTTTTCGCCAGGCAGTCCGTGCCAGAATTGTCCAGCTTTGCCGCCAAACTCGCACTCCAAGCTCCTTGCCAGAGTCGGCCACTGTCCCCAAGCTCTTTCTAGGACGTCCCGTCACTGGCTCTTTGCAGGGTCACCCCGCTGTCCCCGCCAGGGTCGCTTGGTCAGGGTCGCCGTCCCCGCCAAGGTCCTTACGCCGTCCTTGCCAGGGTCGTCCGCCGTCCCCGCCACGATCGCCCGCCGTCCCCGCCAGGGTCGTCCGCCGTCCTCCAGAATCGTCTGCCAAGCTGCCTTTTGGCCTTTTTAGTTGCTGTCAAAGCCAAGTGCCCGCCAGAGTGTCCGCCGTCCCCGTTAGGGTTGCCCGCCGTCCCCGCCAGGGTCGTCCGTCTGCCAAACTGTTTTTGACCTTTTCGTGCCTGTCAAAGTCATCGCCAAGTCCCCACCAGAGTTGTCCGCCGTTTTGGCAGATTCACCCGCCGTTCCGTCCGCCATCCCCTCCAGATGTCCGCCAGAGTCGTCCCGTCCCCGTCAGGGTCGTCCGCCGTCCCCTTGCAGAGTCGTCTGCCAAGCTGTCTTTGGCCTTTTTAGTTGCTGTCACAGCAGAGTCGTCCGCCGTCCCCGCCAGGGTTGCCCGCCGTCCCCACCAGGGTCGCGCGCCGTCCCCCACAGGGTCGTCAGCCGTCCCCGCCAGAGAACTCGCCATCCCCGCCAGGGTCGCTCGTCAAGCTCTTTCTACCAGGTCCCGTCCCCGCCAGGGTTCTCGCGCTGGGAGATAAGGCGCCATCCCCTCCAGAGTCGTCTGCCAAGCTGTTTTTGGCTTTTTCAGTCCCTGTCAGAGTCGCCAAGTCCCCGCCAGAGTCGTCCGCCGTCCCCGCCAGGGTCGCCCGCCGTCCCCGCCAGGGTCGTCCGCCGTCCCCCTCCAGAGTCGTCTGCCAAGCTGTTTTTGGCCCTTTTGCTGTCACAGCAGAGTCGTCCGCCGTTCGCGCCAGGGTTGCCCGCCGTCCCCGCCAGGGTCGCGCGCCGTCCCCGCCAAAGTCGTTTGTCCACCAAGTCCCCGCCAGGGTCGTCAACCGTCCCCGCCAGAGTCGCCCGCCATACCCGCCAGGGTCGCTCGTCAAGCTCTTTCTACCAGGTCCCGTCCCCGCCAGGGTTCTCGCGCTGGGAGATAAGGGTACCCAATTTTACTATTGTGCCCCATGGCTAGCAGTGCCAAATCAGGTCTGGTAGACTCGATCTGCTTGGCCAAGCAAGCAGATCTCGAAGCGGCAGCGTTCAGTGGTACCGGCCGCCGCCGGGCGCGGGCGGCCAATGGTTTAGGGTTTTAGGGTTTAGGGCTTCAGGGTTTTAGGGTTCAGGGGTTTAGGGTTTAGGGGTTCAGGGGATTAGGGTTCAGGGGTTTAGGGTTCAGGGGTTTAGGGCTTAGGGGTTCTAGGGTTTAGGGTTCAGGGGTTTAGGGTTCAGGGGTTTAGGGTTTAGGGGTTCAGGGGTTTAGGGTTGGTTTGCAGTTACGATTTCGTATGCGTGCTTGGGATTGCAAGCTCAGAGCATCAAGTTCCAGAGAACTACAGACTGGGGATGTCGCAGGACCCGGGCAAAAGGTCCAACAACTTAGCACCAAATGTCCGAAATGCTGAGAAGCACAAATACCCTGAATCTCAGAGCACCCGCAAATTGACCCTAAACTCTACATCTGGTCCCTTTAAATGTGAAGAAAAGCACCGGAGCCCTGAGAATAGTGTCGCGGCTGCTTTTGATACGACACCGGTAAGCCGCAGGGAAATTTCCCCTAATCTATGTACCATAACTGCGGTTGAAACCTTCATAAGCGGCTTGGGGGTAGTGATCGCAGTAGGAAACTGCCTAAATAGTGACCAGTTCTCGTCGGACAACAATCGAGCCTCGAAGCAGTCCTGATGCTCATCAAAAAGTATGCGCACAATAGAAGCGTATATGCTGTAGTCACGTCATACATCCCTCTACAATCCTCATATCACTGCAGCACAGTACACCCTCCAAATTCTATTGACTCGCCGCTCTTATCCCTATGGAAAAAACGTGATTCTAGAGGATCGCGCAAGCTGTCGTATCGAACTGCTCCTTCCTGGACCCCCCAAGTTTGTGGAATAATGGCCTTTTGTAGGTATTGGGCCATTATGTTACCTACTTTGGGGGTTTTAGGTTGTGCCGACATGTGACCTTAAAAGTCCATGTACCTAACCGTAAAGTACTCCCTATATGGGTACATTGGGCCCAAAGTATATACTATTTGGGTACATGGACGCTTAGGGTGAAGTCAAAGATGTTTTTCCGGCCTGCGGGTGCCTGGCTTTTCCGCGCCTTCTTCGCCTGGCAGAAGTGCAATGTTCTGCTGGGATATTCTGAGCTGCGGTGTTTAGGGTTTAGGGTTTTAGGGTTCATGAAAGCCCATTAAGCATAAAAACATACAGTAACTCGACCAACGAAAGAGCAACTCGTATGATGACATGTTAAAACACCTTGAAGTACTGGACCAGACCTGTCTTACTTACTGTAGCTTGCACAAACCCTCTAAGCTTGAGATCCGAAGTCTGTGCCAACATGTCGCCGGCTTACATGTCATCCGACTGTTGTACGGATCCATGTGCCCAAATAGGGTTCCTTTAAGGGTACCATAAGGGTTCCTTTAAAGAGATCTATAAGGGATCTATAAGGGTTTAGGGTATAAGGGTCCATGTACCCAAATAGTAACTTAAATAGTACATACTTTGGGCCCAATGTACCTATATAGGGAGTACTTTAAGGCCAAAGTAGACCCTTAGGGTAAGGAGATCTGCAGATCGACCCGGTCATCATGCACATTGCTACAGTTACAGTACTTGCGACAGAGCACGACAAATATCCAGGACATGCTCACTCAGTACCCTAAACCCTAAACCCTAAACCCTAAACCGTGAAGCACATGCGCAACCCAAACCCTGAATCCTGAAAGTCGACAGCCTGATCAACGACAACAAAATGCAAACTGAGCCGTTGACGCAAAACCCGGTGAAGCCCAAGTGTAAACCCCAACCTAGCCTGTCAATCCCGGAATCCATGGAACATGCAAACGAAGATAAACCAAGGGAGATAACATGCTAAAAGCCACCATACCCCTGAACCGTGAAACCCTCACCCCTGAACACGAAACACTCAACCCCTTAAGCTATACTAAACGAAATATGCTACTTCAAGATGTCAGCCCTTGCCTTCTTCTCGTAAGGTCGCATCTGAAAAAATGCTTCAAAGAAGGCAGCCTGTCATCAAGTCTTTAGCAGGCTTTTTTAGTGTTTAGGGGCTTCGGATTCGGGTATAGCTCAACTAGCAGCATGTCAAGAGGCCCTTTTCGGCCCGAAAACCGGAACTCCAAACCCTAATCCTGACTACTGCAGCAACGTAGACGACCCGCATTAGCAAGCACACCTTTCTGCAAGGGCCTCAGCATTAGATCCCTGAGTGTCCGTATATTGACTCATGTGGCATGCTTGAGCCACGCAGTGCCTTTCTAAGAAGCCCTTGAAGGCCAACATATGTAATCAATCCAAGCGTACATGGACCCGTCGGAAACACAGCCTGCACAGCTACGCTTTCTGTTCCCCTTGTATTTGGAAGCCTTAAGGTGGCTAGCCGCCTCGATCGTTGACTCTGCGAAGTCCTTGTTGATCCCGCAAAAGCAATCGTGAAGAACAGGGCGAGCATCTCCGTGGTAAAGTCCTCGACGGGCCTGTGGGAAAGTCATCTGGTGGTTAAGAACTGAAAACCTCTATTCCCTAAGGGTCCATGTACCCAAATAGTATATACTTTGGGCCCAATGTACCCATATCGGGAGTACTTTAAGGCCAATGTATATACTATTTAGGTACACGGACCCTTAAACCCTAAACCCTTATAGATCCCTTATAGATCCCTTTAAAGGAACCCTTATGGTACCCTTAAAGGGGGCCCCTATTTAGGTACATGGACCCTTAGGGATTGCGACCACTGGACGCATAACTCATTAAACTTCTCAGTCTCCGAGCTTGTGGGACCTTTGTTGGCTTCAGCACAAAAGCGCATTTATACGATGTCGCAGTTAAGTGTTATTGAAATATATGTGCAGATCCATACTGCAAAAGTCCGCAGGACATGTATAAGCAAATCTGACAACAAATATGCTCCTCGTGCTTGAGCCATACACTCTGGAATCCAACATCTCACTTCACACCGTGTACCCCTAAACCCGTGAACGCTCAACCGCAACCCCTACGTATCACGCACCCCCGAGCCTCGAAGACCTGCAATCCTGAAGCCCTCAATCCCTAATCCTAAACCGTGAAACCCTCAATCCTACTTGGAAGGGCAGGGGACTTCGTAAGTAGATTATAAGTTAGAAGTAGAGTTCTAACTACCCTAAATGGAGTTACCCCAATTATAAGGAATATTCCTTAATTAAGGGATATTGGAGTCTTTGGGTACCGGCCTATACCTTATAAGCCCCAAAAGCCAAGCACAGCCCCAGTGCCTTCGTGAGGTCAGCCGCCTTAAAGGCCCCAAAAAGAAGGCCTCGGAAATGGGTCACGAGGGATCCAGGGGGATATGGGGCTTAGAAGGTTCCTTAAAACGGCTCCTTAAAGGGATCTCTAGGGGTTCCTTAAAAGGGATCTATGCAATGGGGTTTAGGGTTTAGGGTCTATAGGGATCCATCCTAGACCCCTCAACTACTCTTTATCGTGGCCCCCAATTAGCTCTTAATGAGAAATATCAGAGCCCTTTAAAGGGTACTTGGGGGATCCATAGGCCCAACTCCGAATCCAGTATATTTTGAAAAAGGGTTGAGGGTTTCAGTGTTTAGGGTTTCGGATGCCTAGCCCATAAACAGGTTCCTACATTAGCGTCGGCTTTTGCTCATTACATGGGTCCTAGCGATTTTCATGTCTGGACCCTCATCTGGCTTACCTCATAAATGATCTTCCGGGCCATCATCGTTTTGCAGGCTGATCTCGTTAAATTCAGATAAGTACTGAGAAGAAACGCATGTTGAAATGCTTGTAGTCATGGGGTAAGCCAAATGATCTGACGTTGCGGAGCTTAGCTTCTGGATGTCGGCATTAAAGTCTAGCACCTGGGTTTAGGGCGGCCACGGTTTAGGCCGCAAGTCAAGTTCTATACATGTTGCTAACCCCACTTACGAACTTGTTTCTTAAAGAAACGCTTATATATGTAAAGATAGCTTTCAAGTACATGGCCACCATGCCAAAACGGGCCTCTGCTTTCCGAAGCCGACAAACCATACAATCTGGATCACGTTTGGGGCCGGGTACCTGGCTGAATTTGTCGGTCACCCAATTTTTGCGGCTTTTCCACACAGCTGCAATCCTTTTCAAACGGTCCGCTTCCGTTGCTCAAACGCTCTTGTCCCTTTCGCGCGGCTTGCTGCTTGTTCTCAAATTCTTCAGTCCCTTTCGAGCGGTTTGCTCCCTTTTTTCAACTGCCCTGGTTCCTTTCGAACTGCTTGCTTCTTTTTCTCCAGCGCTCGAGCCCCTTCCGAGCTAATAGCTCTTTTTTTCTACAATGATCCAGTCCCTGCCAAGCGGTTTGCTCCACTTTCTCAGGTGTTCCAGTTCCTTTCGAGCGGCCTGCTTCTTCTTCTCAAATGCTCAAGTCCCTTTCGAGCGGTTTGCCATGTTTTCTCAAATGCCCCAATCCCTTTCGAACGGTTTGATCCTTGGCCTTGAATGCTCCAGTCCCGTTCGAGCGGGTTCCGCCTTGTTCTCTAGCGCTCTAATCCATGTCGAGCTGTTTTCTAATTTTGCTAGAACGCTGCAGTCCCTGTCGAGCGGCTTGCTCCTTCTGCCCAAAGGCTCTAGTCCCCTTCGAGCAGTTTGCGCCTCTCTTCACATCGAGCGGTTTGCTCCATGTTGTCAAAAGCTTCAATTCCTTGCCAGAAGTTTGCACCTTTGAATCAAAATTCCGGCTTGACCATTTCTGTTCTGTGCCCTAGTCCCTTTCGATTGCTTTGATATGTTCTAGTCACTTTCGAGCGCTTTGCTCGTTTATCTCAGTTGCCAGACTCCTTTTCGTGAGGTTTGCTCCTGCATTTTCAGATGCTGTAGTCCCTTTCCAGCGGTTTGCTCCATGTGTCCAAATGCCCTCTCGAGTGGCTTGTTCCTTGTGCTCATGTGCTTTAGTCCGAACGGCTTGCGCCTGTTTTTCAAGTTCTCTAGTTCTCTTCTAGCAGCCTGCTCCTGTTTCTCAAACGCACCAGTCCTTTACGGGCGGTTTGCTCCTTGCCTCAATGCTCTGTGTAGGGATTGGAGCCAGCATTTCTGACGAGGAGTTTCCGGCGTCTGAAGATTTGGTCAGAAATTGGCTCTTGGGGGGTCGGGTTCCCGGTCGTAGAGGCTTTGTTTTGCGGTCCTTCACAGGGGCATACCTATAAGGATGACCAAATGTACCAAAGCGTTCCTTTGATCCTTCTCGTAGACCCTCATTGCGGCACCTTGACACTCGGCCCAAATCCCCATCCCACCCCCGAAGGCTCCGACCAAAGCACGACTCTGGGGGTGAGGCAGTAGAAGCGTTGCCACAAAGTGCCCAAACCTCCCGTCTGGAGACTTTTGTCCCATGTTGAGGGTGAAGGGTCTGTTGAGGATCTGCGGTAGGGCGTTCTACGGGCTGGAATCAGGTGTACGGATCTGCGACTTCAATGTCTGTCGCTTCTTCTCACCTACAACTTCGGTACTGTCTTCGACGCAAGACCCAAATCGCCGGAGTTCCGAGCCTGATGTGTAGATGCCCAGCGGGCGCATCAGCATTACACGAGACTGTGGAGCTGCGTAGAGCCCCTTCTCGTGCCCTCTAGAGTCTGCAAAGATGGGTTCTTGCGAATTGAAGCTACATGTTCATGGAGCTATACCCTCACGGTCCATGCACCCATCTGGCATATACTTTGGCCGTGAAGTACCTATATAGTGCAAGCCCTGTAGTTGGAACATGGATTGAGGATGATTAGTGCTGGGATTCCCTCTACTCTCCTTTAAGCATGAGGTTAGTGATGTTCCAAGTTTCTGGCTTCTACTGTCGGTCCGAGGAGCCTCACACCCAAAACGCGAGAAGCCTTTCTACCTGAACCGCGGGGAAGTGTTATCTATAGATTCTCACCCTCAGTTCTCGGGCCCCAAACCTATATAAACTTTCTAGACTCGAAACCCATAAATCATCCAAAACTACTGAAAATTGCTAGGTGCTAACCCCTAAGCCCTAAACCGAAACCCAAGCCCTCATAGAATCATTATCGTAACCCTTTATTGTAGAAGCCTTATAGAACCCTTGCAGTAAGCCTGATAGAACCTGCATAGAACCCTTGCAGCACACCCCAAACCCTACACCCCGACGATACCAGTCTGAGCATTAGATTTACACATATATGGGTAGTTGTCAAAATTATAGTTCCGTTTTGGGTGCCCTAAATATAAGGTGCCGTACTATAATAAGGACCCAAAAGGGGACCCTAATTTTGACAACCACCCATATGGTGGCCTTCTACTGAATGCGCATAGAAACCCTTACAGTGAGCCTTAAAGGAACCCAGAGACCCTTGCAGCCCTAGTAGGAACCCTCACGAAACCCCTACCTATAGTCTCCATTGTAGTTCCCTTTTTGGGGTTACCTTATGGGGTCCTTAATACATAATTGGGTAAATCACAAAAAGGAATTACAATGGAGACTAGAGGTAGCATCCAAAAACCCCACCTGGTGAGTCCACATAGTCCGGATTCGGGAACACCTGGGACGTTTTGCAAAGGGAGGCCAGAGGTTGGGGCTGAAGGGCTTCCCAGGACACCCCAAGTACCCCCTTACAGGGCTCTAATATTTCTCATTCAGAGGTAATTGGGGGCTACAATAAAGGGTAGTTGCGGGGTCTAGGAAGAGCTTCGGGCTTGAGGGTTTCGGGGCTGCAAGGGAATTAATAGGGTTTAGGGCTTGGGGCAGAAGATGCATGGGCGTACAACGTCGCTTGACAACCTACATACCTATGTGCAACCCTCAACCCTTTTTCAAAATATACTACCTATAGTCTCCATTGTAGTTCCCTTTTTTGGTTTAACCAAATATGTAATAAGGATCCTATAAGGTAACCCCAAAAAGGAACTACAATGGAGACTACAGGTATATTCGGAGTTGGGCTCATGGATCCCTGGACCGTGAGCCATTTCCGAGTCGCTCCGAGTCTCCAGCCAGTGCCAGATCGAACTCAAAGCCCCGACTCCACCTGAAAAGTGCAGCTGGCTTCGGGTTTAGGGTTTAGGGTTTAGGGGTTTAGGGGTTTAGGGTTTAGGGGTTTAGGGCTTTAGGGGTTTAGGGTCCTCAAAAGTGCAGCTGGCTTCGGGTTTACCTATAGTCTCCATTGTAGTTCCTTTTTGGGGTTACCTTATGGGATCCTTAGTACATAACAGGTTAAATCACAAAAAGGAGCTACAATAGAGTAGGATTCGGGGTTCAGGGATTCTGGGGTCTAGGCTCGACGGAACTTCTGCCATAACCGTTGGATTTAGAGGGTTGTGCCTAAGGATCTGTTGTGGGCTGAAGTTAATTAAATGACTGAAATGAATTACATGAACTAAATGAATTAAACTAATTGAACTCTTTAATATATATATATATATATATATATATATATATATATATATGTATAGATTACCTCGCTGCGTTTGCTTTTCGGTGTTAGGGTTCCGGCGTCAAGACTTCAAGATTGGAGACAAGGAGAACCCAATACCCCTTAATGGAGGAATATATGGCTTAAATTCTGTAGGGCTTCAGATTATGATTTAAGCTATGATTTATATGCTATATTCCTTAATTATGATTCATAAGCTAGATTCCATAGTTTAAGGGGTATTGGGCTCTCTGGGGAGTTTGCAAGCAGTTAAGCGCACCGCTCAGAGCCGGGCTTTGGCCTAACATGGTTCAAAGAACTAGACTCACCTGGTAACTACCTATGTAGTTCCTTGTTTTGGTTTAACCAAATATATAATAAGGATCCTATAAGGTAACCCCCAAAAGGAACTATAACGGAGACTACAGGTAGACTCAACTGGTAACTAGACGGGGTCTATGGTTCAGGGTTTGGGGTTTAGTCGGTTTAGTCTCGCCAAACTAAAACGGAAACTAATTACGTATTCAGGCTATGCCCCGGCATGCTACAACACCCCAGCACCAGCTCTTACGCGTATCGTGGTGTCGCAAGGACAGAACACCCTAATGGTCCATGTACCCAAATATAGTATGACCCTCATACTTCCCTGCCCCCTGGTGCAAACCAAAGGGCCCAACACTTTGCACTATGGCGTTTGAACACGAAGGACTACAAAGAAATGGAGTCCTTATGCCTATGCAACAGATGAGGCGACGAAGATTGAGCCCCTGGAGCAAAATCTGAGTATCCGGACAACTCCTGCCGCTCCTGACGTTCGGAGGAAATGTCAGCACACGAAATCTGTAGCGGCTACTGTTAGCCCCAAGGGCCAAGTACCTCATCGAATGTAGGAAAAACCCGCTTACAGTTACAGTATAGTATTTGGGGCCTGCGTGTAGTATATGCAGTTGCCAGCGCAGAGGCAATTGCAACAGCAGTCACAGGAGTAGCGCAGCTGTGTTCGCCTCAGAGCCTCGTGCAAGGCATCTGTTCGGCATCTGAGGGTTTCAGTAAGGGGAGCTTTCTTCGGAGTCCTTACAATAAGGATCCTACTGTTGGGGATAGCAGTACTGGCAGGCCGAAAAGTGGTTGCGGAGCCGTCGCCCCTGCACAGAGCAGCAGCAGCAGAAACAGCAGCAGAAGCAGGAGCAGCAGCTCTAAGAAAAGCTGCAGCAATACGAATGCTCCAGGATAGTGAGCAATTATGTAAAATGAGCTGATTGATACGGCATAACAACACAACAGCATGCAATGATACGTTCTCTCGTATTTCTGATACTGTTGCATAGTGCTGCTGATCTTGCTTATGGTGCTTGCGCAGGCGATTGTTGTAGTTGCGACACTTGCGGAGAGTAGTGATTCGGGTGTGAACAAGACGAGCAACCTGTGAGAGCCATCTCTATGGGAATACGCTATATTTTGGCAAAACTAAAACTGGTAATTATGTCCAAGCATAGTCCATGAAAAAAATCATACCGTGATACCCCCCCAACCCCGACATTCCACTGCTGAATGTCAGTTCTCAACTCGACGGATCCGGGTCGGCCTGGCAGTAGTCTTGTTGGCCCTACCCTCACAGCCGGGCGCGGACCTTCACTGATCCTTCTTGAGCTGACCCGGAGAAAGTCATCGCAGAAACACGAAACCCCGAGCGCTCAGCCCCAAGCACAAAAAGAAAAGAAAAAGTCCAAACCATCAGCTCGGGAGGAGGCAGGTGAGGTGGGATCTGAGCTGTCCGAGTTTGATATCTTCAAGCCGACCCTGGATAGCAGGATCACTCAATGCCAGGACCCCCAAAAAAGGAGGAACCCTACGTGCTACGCCTAAGAGAAGCCCCCCAAATATCAGCACTGCATACCTGTAGTCTCCATTGTAGTTCCTTTTGTGGTTTAACCAGTTATATACTAAGGATCCCATAGAAACCCCCAAAAGGAACTACAACGGAGACAATAGGCACTCTTGGGGCGACCTCGTCCTGCAGACTGCGGGGCCTTCCCTTGAACAACTCCTGGCAGGATGAGGGCCCCTTAAGGCATAGCGGCATACCTGAACCCCCAAAGTATGTAGAATAATGGCCTTTTACAGATATTGGGCCATACTTTTACCTACTTTGGGGGGTTTAGGTATAGCTTTAATCATAATATGAAGCCCTAAGGGTCCATGTACCTAAATAGTATATACATTGGCCTTAAAGTACTCCCTATATGGGTACATTGGGCCCAAAGTACATATTTGGGTACATGGACCCTTTGGGAAGCCCTATATCATTTAAGCCATATTCCTTAATTTAAGGGGTATTGGGCTCTCTGGGTGCTGGCCTTGTCATAGGATCCTATTAGTTTGGAGTCTGTATCGGGCTCCCTTCTTTCGCCGAAAGTCCCAAATCGCTTGAGGCATGGCGGGTACAACTGGCATCACTGAAGTGAATGATGTGCAGTTACTCTCGCCCTGAGCGAGAGCATAGCGGATTCAAAGATGACGACGTACTATGGCGCTCTCATGCTAGGCTGGACGCGTCAAACCCGATACCCTAAAGCTCTCAACCCTAGTCCTGCGCTCACGCCAGAAATCCCACCTAATTACAAACGCCAAACCTATAGTATCCCGAACTCCGACTAAAAACCAGGCTCAACCTCCGGACCTGTTTGGGCATTCAGAAGGCTTGGAAAACAATTCGATGGTTCGTTCATGGTTCCACTGCTCTCCCCTTACCAGCACACTGCTGCAAAGCCGTAACCAACATATTGCAGACACACAGCCCCAAAACCCCCACAACCCGAAACCGTCATTAAACCCTGACCTCTCCGCCCCCTCAACAAAATCACCCCCGGCCTCCAGCGAGGGGAGGGCGTAAGATTGCTTCGAGGGGGGCTTGGTGGCCTCCTGTCCGCAGTGATGCAAAGACTTGCAGGCCTTTGGCAGGGGTTCTACGATTTGGTAGGAGTGGTCTTGATTCCATGGGGCTGCGGTGCTCTGAGATTTTGGACTTCAAGCTTGCAGGGTTTGGGCGTTTGTCTAGCGGGTTTGTGGATTTGTGGATGTGATGTCCAGAGCATTCCCCAACAGTCTATCAGTCAGTCGAGATACTCTAATTACAACCCTTGTTACTAAGCCCCATGATCCTTTAGGTGGCTCTAGGGGCAGCAGCAGCGCCAGCCCACCATGCAGTACCACGCAGTAGGGTGCAGTGACACGAAGAAGGCAACAGACGAAACCCCACCCCGAGCCCTGAAACAGCGAAACACCTTAAAACCCCAAACCCCCTTGAGCCCAGGATGAGGGTTTCCGAGAATTAGGGGCCCCTTACTTGGGGGTCATTATAAAAAGGATCCTACTATTTGGGGTACTATATTAGGGCTTCGAGCCGTCACAGTCCCACGAGCCAGATTGCTTTTTTTTGTCGAGCGGAATTCCGATCAAACCATTGAAGCCCGGACAAAGACACTGATCCAATTCCCAGCCGACACGTAATCCCTAAACCCTGAAAGCGTGGCCAAACCTGTATTGGCAGCTTCGCCACCACAGGGGGCGCTTTCTGAGTCGGCGGGGGCGCCACCTCGCGCCAGAGCAGTCGTGACGGCGGGCATCGCAAGAACCAGGATACTGCATGTTACAGCTACTGGTGCAAGCACACGTGTGCTACGCTGCGCCACTGCTGGTGGTGCTGACGATGGGCGATGGATGACAACAACTGTACTGACTGGCTGCAACCGTAGGCGCAAGGATAGGACTTATAGGGTGTCAGTTGCCTATGACGTCGATCCTCCCAATCATATGCAGGAATGTCCTATGAAAGAAGCACCGAACGACTCTAAGCTGTCCAGCTCATGATGACGATGGCACACCGTGGTTGAACCAGTGATTGGTGATTGGTGGTGGCCACCAGTGACGGCTGTAGCTCCCCGAAACTCAAACTCTCAGCCCCTTAAACATCTAAACCCAAAGGACGCTAAACCCTAGAAACCCAAAGGACGCTAAACCCTAGCCAAAACCTGTAAAACAAAAAGGAGCCTAAACTCGAATCAAACCTTAGATGCAAAGGACAGTCCCCAGGACTCCTGACAACGCTCACCGACCCACCTCAAGCGGAGGCATGCTCGGATGTTGCCCGGCCTTCACCACACAGCTGAAAGACAAATATGCGGGGGGGGGGGGGGGCTCGATGAGTATCGGGTTTCTTGAAAGCGTTCCTTCAAGGAGTATGGGACCAGTTAATGTTGGAACAGCGTTGTGAGTAAATTGTACTATAACTCTAAGAGGAACACCGAGGAAAAGTAACGATCTAAGGATAAGTAACTGTAAAGATTCAGTCTTCTATATGAGTGCTCTAGACTCACGTTCCAATCGATGGTCCGCTACGGAGCTTTAGACTTGAGATGTTCTTTGCAAATTCCACGACGTTGTTCCTAAGTTAGGCCCAACACTCATGTCTGGTGAATGAGCAAAGTAGGGATGTCAGAAGACCGGGTGCCTGATCTTCTAATTGATTCTAAGTAGTCCCATACAAGAGGTACTTACCTTTCCTGCCACTCCTTGGCATGATCGTCACCATGGCCGGCACAAGCGAAACGATGATAAACATCGCCATTATGACTCGACCTCTGCTAATACCGTGAGTATGTTCGAAGGCGTCCCTGCCATCGCCCTACGCACCGGAAACGTCCTTACCAGAGTCAGAGTCATTCCCCAAAGGGTCCTATGTACTGTTATGGGGAATACTTCCCAAAATCATAATAGTAATTCCTAATATAGAAACCCTACATTCTACTATATCGGTACTTTGGACCCTTTGGGTTCATCATTGAAGCGGCAAGGTGCACACAGACACGACATAAACTACCAGAGCAAGGAGAAACTCCCTTGAGGGTGCACAGAAACCGAAGCTGCGCCTGCAATTCCATGTACGATCGTGCCAGGATAAGGCTGGCGGCATTGGGCATCTCGCCCGCAGCCTTCAATGACGGGGCATCTAGCAAGCATTACCCCAAGAGTCCAAAGGACCCAATAATTAGATACTCGGTTTTAAGATAGTAGTTATGTAGGTTAGGATTTTGGAGAGTATATGATTATTGGGTACTTGGACCCTTGGGGTTACCTGGAACCATAGAAATACACTTATAACTCCAACAGATATTTGAACCACCACTACCACTGGTTGGTTCAACGCCTGTGTGATGTTTGTCTTTTTTGTGCTAACTGCACACATGCATCTGCATCGTTTACAAACAGCTATATACACGCGACACGCAATATTAGCACAATTTCTTTGAATTGGTGCTACCACAGGTGTTGGTTTCAGCAAAAGCATATATAAATGTGATGCCTGCTTCGAACATTGCCACTATCATGAAAATCAATGCAACGAAGCACTGACACATAACATCATACGACGTGGTATACTACAGCAACGCATAAACATGTCATTCATTGCGCTGAAGCATAATATGACATCATTCAGTCAATGACACATAGTAGAACTAAATCGAAGGAAACTATCTACTCTAAGACCTTCATTTAATATCAGAAACTGTAAAATGACGAAACTATAACTTTACATAACACGATATTGCATAAAGCAGTGTAATATGATCTGGTCTGGTATGCTTTGCTATGACATGACATAGGTGTTGTAGTTTAATGCAATGTAATGCACTGCACTGTACTGTGCTATGTGTAGTCCAGTGCCTTGCATTTTATTGTGTCATGACATATGCTGCTACGTACACTATATGTTAAGGCTACATAATTTGTGATAATGAACGATACATGGCACCATATGCTGTAGTGAGAATTTAACGTAGTGTTAGATGTGTTCAGTATCGTCTAGCAGAGCGGGGTACACTATCGCACAGTAATTACAGCATAGGATAGCAGAGTAAAGTACAGCATCGTGCAGTATAGCAGGGTAGAGTAGAGTAATTCTTGGTATGGTACGGCACAGAAGACTATAGCATAGCATGGTATAGCCTTGCTTCGGGTTCTGCGGCTTTCAAAATGTTGAAGCGTGGTTATACTGAGCTTTAGGGTTATGTCGGCTTCACGATTTGACTTCTGAGGACTACAGCATACAGTATTGCTGTTTCGGGCCTTCGTAGTTGGCTGGGACTCCGTTGATTGGCTTGGGGGGGGGGGGGCTTCTGCGAAAAGTCGAGAATCAAAGCCTATGTCACGGTTTTCATTCACTCATCATGCAGAACCTGGAAAGCACTCAACTACATGGTTCGCGCAAATTTTCCAAGCCTCAGCCCATTTGGTAAATTTCGTGAGGATTCCTGGGAGATTGAATCCTTCCTTGCCGAAGATAGCCGGATCCTGTACACAGGAACCCTACCAAGCGAAAGCTCTCTAAACCCCAAAAACTTCGTGCAGTTTCATTAGAACTGGGCTTTGCAGCTTCTTCTACAAAATATTAAAGGAAGCCCTTAGAAAAACAAGCATCGGAACCTCCTCAACCCAAGTGTCAGGCTGAGATCCACGCCAGCTGGCCGATGATGGAGTCGATACCTCGGAGTCCTTGCGATCTCGTCACAAGTCACCATCCGCTCTGTCTCTCTCTCTCTCTCTCTCTCTCTCTCTCTCTCTCACATATATATATATATATAATCACAAATTTACATGTATGTAATGTACAGTATATATGTACATGGGCGTGACTTTCCTTTCGGCTTTTGGGTTTAGGGTTTATGGCATGCGCGGGTACACAAAGACGTTCCGGAACAATCCTTGAGTATAGTATATACCTTGGCCTTAAAGTACTCCCATATTGGGCCCAAAGTATATGCTATCTGGGTACATGGACCCTTAGGGAATTGCATGGCGCAATGGTGACACGGTTGCGGCTTTTGCTTTGCTCTGAACTCTGAACATGATGTTCACGACGTCCAGTGATGTAACTAGCAGTCCCCCTTTCCTGCACGATCATTCACATCATCATTGCTGTTGCTCGTGTTGCTGTTGTTGTTGTTGTTGTCGCTGCCGCTACTGCTGCTGCTGCTGTTGTTGTTGCTGCTGTTGTGGCTGCTGTTGGTGCTGATTCTTGCTGTTCTTGCTGCTGCTGGTGTTGTTTTTGTTGCTGTTGCTGTTGCGGTTGCGGTCGTGGTGGTGGTGGCGGTGGTGGTGGTGGTGAGGGTGGTGAGGGTGGTGAGGGTCGTGGGGGTGGTGGGGGCGGGGGTGGTTGGGGTGATGGGGGTGGTGGGGGTGGTGGTGGTAGTTGCTGTTGCTGTTGCTGTTGTGGTGCTTGTGCTTGTGGTCGTGGTCACGGTTGTGTGCTGGTGCTGGTGCTGCTGCTGGTGCTGGTGCTGGTGCTGGTGCTGGTGCTGGTGCTGGTGCTGGTGCTGTGGTTGTGGTCGTGGTTGTGGTTGCTGTTCTTGTTGCTGTTGTTGTTGTGTTGCCGTCACTGTGGCTGCAGCTGCTGTGGGTTTGCTGGGGATCACCATTCAGTGTGCCACTTCTGCCTTGCCGGAATCCCAACAAGATCGAAACGAGCGTGCACCTTATCCTGAAGGCTTATTTTGACGATTCGCCTGAGGAATTCAGCAATCGGTAAATAGCTGCTGAGGGAACCTGCTCAGCTCTTGCTGGTTTTGTCTGCAGACTGGGACTGTGCAAGATATGTAAACTACCAAGTGCGAGCAAATCCACCTGGCCAACCGCAAGAAGCTGGTCAAAGTAGAAACACATCCCAACCGCACAGCCTCGCTCTGCAAAGTTACATCATTGCTTCGAGGGCTGCTGGGGCAAACTGTTACAACTATGATGTGAACTGCATTTAAGTGGATATGGCAAACACACATTTGCAGCTGCATGCCGTTTGGAGGGCACGCTGCTCTTTCGTACCCCATCAGCCCCGTCTACGAACTTCCGTTTCTCAGTATGGAATGGTGGTTGAGACATTGACATTAGTACTACAAGGGGTCTGAACAATCAGAAGTGCTATCCCCTTTGACCCTGCTACACTTCTATAGTCCAGCCCGAAACCCTAGTCTAGCTGCAAGCAACTTATAGCTTGACGCCCAAACCCTTGTACCCTGACTCCGTGATATGCTAGTGCCGAAGCCCGAAACCCCAAAGAGCCTAAACCCTAGCTGGGAAGCAATCATGCAGGGACCTAAACCCTAAACCCTACTTGGAGGATCACGGGACTAAGTAGCTAAGATTATAATTATAAGTACCTGAATTGGGTTATAAGTAGTTATAAGTAGAGTTACCTTAATTATAACCCTATAGTTACTAAGTCCCATGATCCTTTAAGTAAACCCTAAACTCTACGTCCTGGCAGAGTAGCTCTCGGCGTGGCAACAGGCTTCCGCGAGGCGCTCGGAAGTGCCGCTTTGTCTTGCGCTACGGCCTGTGGGTTTAGGGTTTAGGGGTTATAATACCCCATCTAATCATCGTAGATGGAGTCAGAATAGAACAGAACTACCTATCAAACGTCGTCAGAAGCATGAAACAAAGATGGGCTGTATGTGTTAGCTTTACTCTTACTACCTATCTATCTGTCGACTTGTCTGTATGTCTGTGTCTGTCTGTCTGTCCGTCCGGCTGTCTGTCTGTCTGTCCACCGGTCTATCGGCCTACCATCTGTACCTTGTGTGTATGTGTATACAGGTAAGTGTGCACAGTGTACATACATCGTGTATATGTATGTCTACATGCTAACACACACACACACACAAACACACACACACACAAACACACACACACACACACACAAACACACACACACCAGCACACACACACACATGTGCACATGTCTTAAGCAAAGATTGCAGCTCAGCCGCCGTCCGTGGCAGCTCTAGCTTCTCAGTCTTCACCGGAGGCTTCTTGATCGAACCATCGGCCGCCGAGGCATCCGCAGTTGGAGCTTTGTCGGTGCTCGCCGGCTGTGCAGCCTCTGGGAGCGTGGCCTCCTCAATGGGAATCAGCGGCGGGAGGCTTTCCTGAGCTGGGGCTTGTGTTAATTTGTTGGAATTCCGACCTTCCTTCAGGAAAGCGACAACAAATGCTAAAACGACTTTTGCGATAATCCCTGTTGGAATGCAGATTCTGGAAGGGTCCCTGAGCTAGTGTGTAGGACAAGCCCGAGCTGCTGGCGAGTGGAGCAGGAAGCGGTCCGGTGGGACCAAGGGGTTGGCTTTAGGGGTTCCCAGAGAGCCCAAAACCTTTAACTAAGGAATATAGCTTAAATCATAATATGAAGCCCTATATAATTTAAGCCATATTCCTTAATTAAGGGGTATTGGGCTCTCTGGGTTAGGGTTTAGGGATCTACCGGACCCAAGCCGCAAAGCCTCAACAGTAGAAAACACGTGCAAAAGGAAGAGTAGAAGCGGCCATCCCCCCAAGGTCAATTTCCAAGGGTCGCTTGCAACTTCTGGGAGACTGCTCTTTGTCTTTGCTGACAGCTTGGCTTTGGCCTGGACAGCAGGGCCGAGGTCAAGCCAGAACCCTATGTGAACCCCAAGTTGGCTCTGCACCCAAGTAACAACGGAAACCTTCAAATCCTAAACCCTACCTTAACCCCAAATAACCTATATACCTTGACTTATATAAAAGACATGATATTAGGGAACCCTAAAAAGGTAAGTTCTTCGGGGTCCCAGGTACACCCAAAAACCCTAAACCCTTAGGTTGACAGTTTCGAGATCAGGGTTTCGTGCCTCCCCCTTTTCCCCACGGGCCTCACAACCCGAATCCTCTCGCCGAGACCCCTGCACAGCCCTAAACCGCACCCTTCACCTCGGCCGATGAGTCTGATTTTAAAAAAGTGGGCTTGATACGTACTTGGAGGATCATGGGACTTAGTAATTAAGGTTATAAGTACTTTAATTGGAGTTATAAGTAGAGTTACCCTAATTATCACCCTAGTTACTAAGTCCCATGATCCTTTCAGTAGAATAGGGTGCATTAAGAGGAGGATTCCCTTAAGGGCTCGACACGGGCTACCATCAAGGGCTTAAGGGCACAGGGGCCTTGATAATCAGAACACGGTGCTTTTGGAGAGAGGGGGGATCTTTATACTATACAATAACCCGGGGTGAATACCCGGAAAATGAGTTACTGGAACATGAATCACTATCACCCTTGACCCTGAATCCTGCTTACTACCTGTAGTCTCCATTGTAGTTCCTTTTTGGGGTTACCTTATAGGATCCTTACTAATATCCTTAATAATATATAATTGGTTAAACCACAAAAAGGAACTACAATGGAGGCTATAGGTATAGTAGGCCCACAGCCTCTTCACTTCAGAACAGCTCAGTCCGAGCCCTTGAATCCGACGGTGTAAGATTCAGTTTTTTTTTTTTTTTTTTTGGGGGGGGGGCCCAGAGACTCCAATATGCCTCAACTAAGGAATATACCTTAAATCATATTAGGGATCCTACTATAATTTGAGGTATATTCCTTAATTAAGGGATATTGGAGTCTCTGGGGGGGTTGGAGGTTTCGGTTCAATTAGCAGTTCGGGGTTTCCGGTTTAGAGTTTCAGAGTATCAGCCTGGCTCATCCCAAAAGGACGATTATGAAGAGCTATACTTGGAAGGGCAGGGGACTTAGTACGTAGGTTATAAGTAGAGTTGTAAGTACCCTAAATGGAGTTACCCCCATTATAACCCTACTTATGAACGACTTACTAAGTCCCCTGCCCCTCCAAGTCATGCTCGAGAGAATATAAACCTCTTACAGGCAGTGTCCTCAAAACCCTCATCGGCTGACGGCTGGGGATGACGGCCTCAACCCTAAACCCCAAACCGAAAATCCTAAACCCTCTCAACCCTAAACGCTAAACCCCACATCCTAAACCCCCAAACCTGGAACCCTCAACCCCAAATGAAGCCCTCGACAATCCGTGTACCTGCCAGCGCTTCGCAAACCTCGCGATGATCGCCCTTTCGTCATCGTCCGGAGCCCATCCCTTAGCCTGCTCCTTGGTTTAGCGTTTACTTAAAGGATCATGGGACTTAGTAACTAGGTTTATAATTAGGGGTAACTCTACTTCTAACTACTTATAACCCCAACTAAGGAACTTATAACCTTACTTACTAAGTCCCATGATCCTCCAAGTAGGGCTTCAGTGCCCTGCGATTTCTGAATCTGCGCTTTAAAACTTTGGGGCATTTAGGGGTTTCGGCTTCAGCTTCGTTAATACTTCAGAGTTTAGGGTTTAGTCCTTTAGCGCTTCTGGCTTCTGGGCTTGTAGTTTTGAGGGTTTCTGGGCTTGCGGTTGTGGCTTCGGAGTTTCGAACTTCGGGGTTAATAGTTCAGGGAATACAGGGAGGTTCGTTATGTGTTATGCTTGCTAGGGGTTACTTGGAAGGGCAGGGGACTTAGTACGTAGGTTATAAGTAGAGTTATAAGTACCCTAAATGGAGTTACCCCAATGATAACCTTACTTATGAACGACTCGCTAAGTCCCCTGCCCCTCCAAGTAATCTGTAGGACCACGTTCACGGAAGAGAGGCAGAGCACATCGACAGGCAAACGGCAAGTGGCCCAAGGTTGGCAGCTAAGTCCCGAAACTTAGGCTGCCCTACGCAGCCATAAACCCAAAACCCTAAGGTTCTGCATGAGTTTATGACTTGAACTTTAAGCCCGGCACTCCACACCCTCGGCCGCTGAATGAAGCCCAAAGCCACGTCAGCATGTTCCTCTTGTCAGTTCTCTTCTCTAAGTCAAAAGGCCAAAAAATCATCCAAACGCTGGACCGCACATGCCCACGTATGCCTGTGGGGCCTCGTGTCTCCAAGGGACAGTCGCATGGGAGTTGCCAAGAATAAGGAGCCACTGTTGCAGGCGGTCAGTAGTATGCGAAACGGATCCTCCAACAACCCCGAACAACACGATCCCCGGTCCCCAATCTTTGAACACCCTGTGGTAGGCAACAAGGACCTACTTCAGATCATCAACGGCTACTTCATTCCGGTGTGTAAGTTCTGAAGCGCACAATTCTCCTTCATACCCATATGCCTAAAACCTTCCCTGAACTCTACATGCTGCATGCGAAGTCTCGTCGGGAGCAGTGACTTTGGGGGCCGGCATGGACTCTGGCGCCGGGGGCTGTTTCGAGGCTCCTGAACGTCGGACATTGCCGAGTAGAGAGCGATGCACAGTGCATAAGGGCGAATAGAAACGATTCACATACATAAGAATGCATACATTACATTCCATTCCCACAGATTACACTACAGTACATTGCATTATACTTGTTACCTACACCTGCAGCCAGCACATAACACACTCGCAAACAAGCATGCTGGAGCATATCTAATGGCAAAACCTGCACTGTTTTGCTTTATGCACGGGCACGCACGTGTATGCCAGCGCATGCAAGCGGCAAACATACACATCAATCATAACCATGCTCTGCATGCAACACCGTACCTAGTGGTCCATAAGACCATCTGCTATTGACTTGAACTACATGCTGATGAACACCCTCCATCCGGACGTGCCTGTAGTGCCTCCCACCACAGGGGCATCTTCTGGAGGGTGAGCAGCTGGCTGGCCTGGCTGTGCTTCGTCTGTCCTCGAACCCGAGTCGGAAGGTGGTGGACTCGCCGGGGCCGGTAGCGGAGGTTCCGGCTCTGAGGATGCCGGAGCAGGCTCGGACTCTGCCTGAGGCTCTGCCTTCTTCTCGGGCGGGGATGCGACGAAAAATGAAGAAAAGCGACCCCACCACGACTGCGAAGCCTCCTTTCGGATCTTCGTTGGGCCTCCGGAGTCAGCAGGTGCGGGAGCTTTGCTTCCCGAAGGTGCAGACATAGGATGGGGCGCCGGCTGTTTTGCAGCTGGCTCTGGACTGCTTGCAGCTGCTGCTTGAGGCTTTGGTTCACGCACCTCTGCTTGAGGCTTGGGTCGTGGCTCCTCTGCTTGCCCTCTATCCGGCTCTTTGTGGGGCTTGGGTTCTTGCTCCTCTGCTTGCCCTCGATCCGGCTCTTTGTGAGGCTTCGGTTCTGGCTCCTCTGCTTGCCCTCGATCCGGCTCTTTGTGGGGCTTGGGTTCTGGCTCCTCTGCTTGCCCTCGATCCGGCTCTTTGTGGGGCTTGGGTTCTGGCTCCTCCACTTGCCCTCTATCCGGCTCTTTGTGAGGCTTCGGTTCTGGCTCCTCTGCTTGCCCTCGATCCGGCTCTTTGTGAGGCTTCGGTTCTTGCACCTCTGCTTGTCCTCGATCCGGCTCTTTGTGAGGCTTCGGTTCTGGCTCCTCTGCTTGCCCTCGATCCGGCTCTTTGTGAGGCTTCGGTTCTTGCTCCTCTGCTTGCCCTCGATCCGGCTCTTTGTGAGGCTTCGGTTCTGGCTCCTCTGCTTGCCCTCGATCCGGCTCTTTGTGGGGCTTGGGTTCTGGCTCCTCTGCTTGCCCTCGATCCGGCTCTTTGTGTGGCTTGGGTTCTGGCTCCACCACGTCGGCTTCGGCCAGCTCTTCCGACAAACTTTCCACAGGTTTTGCCATGCGAAACAAGCTTCTCTAGCACGCTCTCGTCAACGGTGCCAGCTTGGCACTAGAGTCCACGCTCACGCCCAGAAGCAGCGCAGTTGCCGTTGCTTCAAGCTGGGAACGAAGCCTTCTCCCCGGGAGAAACCACCCATGCAGGCTTTGCTGCGCCCTGACTCCCCTCATGCCACGAGACCTGATAAGCCAGAAGCTTTCAGTCGCCCTGTAGAGCTCAATCTGGCAAGCACAAAAAGCCTATTCTATAAGCATGCAAAGCCAGCCGTAATTCTTCCATGGCCCGTCTGTTTTTTCGTGCTTGTGCCAATACTTCGACTTTCTTTATGATATACGAGGCAGGCTATTGGACAGCCAGATGCAGCTAGCGCATAGAGGGTGCGCCCCGGTGTTCAAAAACAGTGCCCGTGCACGATGAAGTTTGCCCGTGATTAAACTTTACTGAACTTAGAACCCTAGCAAAAACTATAATTTTAGCTGTTTCTTAGGGCTTGTAATAACCAAAAATTAAAAACTATTTCTAAGTACCCCTAAGTAAACAGGTACTTATCATGGTGGAAGGCCCCGGAGAATCTTGTGCTTTTCTCGCTGTCAGGTGCAGCAGCAGTCTTGCACGTACCACCTGGGAGCAGGATGCTGTACATGTAACCCTAAGGGTCCATGTACCCAAATAGTATATACTTTGGGCCCAGTGTACCCATATAGGGAGTACTTTAAGGTCAATGTATATACTATTTAGGTACATGGACCCTTAGGGTAAGGAAACCAGTAGCGCAGTCGTCCTAGGAACCGTGTGGAGTGTCTAGGACTCTCGGGAGAACTCCCGAGTAAACAGCAAGGACATGCACTGTTGTACAACAGGGCTAAACAACAGCCTGTCTCCGGAAGCTAAAGGTGTTCCAAGATGGCAGGCTACTGTACCAAGCCCATAATGATGCTATGGACAAGGGAGGCCGAGGTCCCATGATCCAGCTTTCGATTCTCAAGCCTGCGGGAGTTGAAAATGTGTGATAACGACCTCGGCATCAAAGCAAGATCTACGGTCGTCCGGACTCAAAGCTTGCTGAGTCTGGGCAGAGTGGTGTAAGCCTGCCAGTCACAAAGTTCCGTGTCAAGGGCTACCAATGGCTTCAGGCTTGTGGCTTAGGGCTGAGGGACTTCGTGAGGTTTGCGGCTGTGTGGCTGTATGATTTCAAACTGACGGTTCAGGGTCTGAAGGTTCGGTGACCATGGGTCTTGGGAGAATGCCTGCAAAACTCAAGCCCTCAGCGTTAGTCTCCAAAACGTGAACCCGAAACTCGCAAAAGCCAAGCCCAAACGCGAATCCCCAAACGTTTGAAGCGGGATTGTTCGGTTTCGTTCTGCTGTGTTGCAAGGGGGATTTTCAACATTCGGAACTTTGTTTAGCGTCATTCGTCTTTCACTTGTGGCATATGGTCCAATCATAGGTCCCCTACCTTCCAAACTCCCACATCGTGCCTCGAGAGGGTCTGCCGGCCGAGCTGGCAGCGTCTCACCTTCAAAATAGAGACGACGGCCAGACCAGCCAAATTCGTCCTCGCATTTGGGTTTAGGGTTTATAGGGTTTAGGTGCTTCACAACTTCGGAGAAGAATGGGGGTTCCGGGGTCATTATCAACGGAGATGTGCAATCCAACGAGGAAGTGCTTGCGAACCCTAGGATGCTAAGGGGAAGCGCCGGGCAGTTCCGGAGGGATGCTTTAGAACAGAAACTGTTTTTCAAAAGGGTTTGGAACGCGCAAGCTCAAGGTGAAAACGACTGCGCGTTTGGGTAACTTGCTCAGAGGTATTAGGCATCCTGAGAACCAGCTGACCAACACGTGCATGGGTTTAAAGAACCTCGGTTACACAGCTACTTGAAAAGACAGAAGCTGCATGCAGATTTCGGGGCAGATTTCCGACAAAGTTCTTATGCCAACACCTTGTCGGCGATCGTGCAGCAGTACACCATCCCATGATTCGTCCATACCTCCAGAACCTATGCAGCCTAGGGCCAAGCCCAAACCCCGAAACTAAGCAAGCATCTCCTTGTGGGCATTGTAAGCGTTGCAAAGCCCCTGCAAGCAGAGTTTATTGCCACGCACCAGCGGTCAAAGGAGAAAGCTCCAAAGGCTCAAAAACGTTTGAGTCTAGCATGCCTAACACTTGCGCCCCTCACTTCTTACAGTACGTCGTGTGTCGTGTTGGGAAAGAGCATCTGAAACATGTTCAGGTCAGGCCATTTGACTGTCAATTGTACCAGGCGCCAGCTAAGCCAGCAACGGTAACTTATCGCGTGTACTTGGAGGATCATGGGACTTAGTAACTAAGGTTATAAGTACCTTAATTGGGGCTATAAGTAGTTAGAAGTACAGTAGAGTTACCCTGATTATAACCCTAGTTACTAAGTCCCATGATCCTTTAAGTAGGCTTGTCGGTCTGCATGAGCCCGTCCATGGACCGGTAGGTATCGGTGAGTGTGTATTGACTTATGCATGTCTCCGTGTACCCAGAGACTCCAATATCCCTTAACTCAGGAATTTACCTTAGATCATAATAGGGATCCTATTCTGATTTAAGGGATATATTCCTTAATTAAAGGATATTGGAGTCTCTGGGTAGTTGTCCTCGGTGCCCGCAGCCTTGATCCATTTCTTGTGAGCTTCCTCAACGGTCGCACAGAGTCTCGTGTCCTCGCTGGCTTCAGGGCTTGTACCTGTAGAATCCATTGTAGTTCCATTTTGGGGTTACCTTGTAGGATCCTTAGTATACATTTGGTTAAAACAAAAGAAGGAACTACAATGGAGACTATAGGTAGAATGTCACCGCGTCCATTCACGTTTACGGTTTTTTGGGGGGCCAAGTATGACTGGTTCCACGTCGGGGTGTAGCAGTATCAGCCAAACGTTCATAACAAAGCATGTATTTCGGGTTCAGCGCTCCCGCACATTCCTCAGATATACAGGAAGAGACTGGAAGAAAGTTGGCAGCGCTTGGCGCCCATAAACATGGGCTTCTGCCTGAAGCCCGAAACCCCCAAGCATGTTAGATGCTGTAGGCAAGAGTCAATGGGCTCACCCAGAGCACAAGCGAGCTTCTGAGGATATGGCCTGAGTATCAGGACGGAACTTCGGACGTAGGAGTTCGGCTTGGAACCCCTACTATAAGGCCATGGCGACTACTATAGGGGCCTTAGAAATTAGAATAGGGTTTGGGGCCCGTTATACTATACTTATGACAAGGAACCCCCAAAATAGTTTTATTGGTAATTCGTAAGGCCCCTATATTACGGGCAGTGTTCACCCTGGTTTAGGAAGGACTGATATGATCAGGTCTGACTTGCCTGCTTAACGGATCATGCGACTTAGTAACTAGGGATACAATTAGGGTAGCTCTACTTACTACATATAACCCCAATTCAGGTACGTATGACCTTACTTACTAAGTCCCATGACCCTCCAAGTGGGGCCTTAAGCTGCCGATACCCGAATGCATCGGCACTGAGGCTGTTTCAACCGGTTGGGTCGTTGCTTTCGGTTGATGATATAAATCCTGCATTACCCCTCATAAGGAATGTACCATAATTCCCATAGTTTAGGGTCCTTAAGGTAGTGCAGGATTGACATCATCAACCGTCTTTCCTCCTGAACCAAGATCGTGCCCTGGGCATTCTGCCTAAGCACTCGGACATCTTCACCCTCTTCTGTCACTCTGAAGAGGGCCGTTTGGACAAAGCTGGGATAGTATTTGCAGCACTTCTCACCAGCAGTGAAGGAATGCCAACAACAATGCACAAACTAAAGCCCTTGAAGGCCTTATGCACAAAGCATTAGAACGATCATCAACACTCATGTAAATACGATACGGGCAGAGTCCAGAGAACAAGAAGTACTTGTACCGACACTCGGGCTCATGATCTGCGACCGTAACTACCACTTGTACGCCTGAACCGCAACCCTAGACAAACCGCCTCCAGAACGATGGAAGGGCCGAGGAACAGTAGTGTGCCCCAGCGTCCATGGAAAAGAGTGATGGAGGTCTTTAACCTGCTCCACTTTCAGCTGTGTTGTAGGAATTGTTAAGCTTAGAAGGTTGATTCGGCTCAGACTTGAGGTAGAATTCAAGGATATGGCTTCTATAGTTCTGAGGAGCTATAAGACCTGAACAGGATCGGTTTAACAGGGGGCTATGAAGCATCGCATAAAATTGGCTTAGACTTTTTTTGTATCTACACGGTTTCGTTTGTGATTCTGAGTGGAAAATCTTGTGAAGCCAAGCAAGTGGCAACACCATGTACAGGACCCGGCGAGCCCGAATAATCCTACTTAAAGGATCATGGGACCTAGTAACTAGGGTCATAATGAGCGTAACTCTACGAATAACTACTTATAACCCCAGTTAAGGTACTTATAACCTTGCTTACTAAGTCCCCTGATACTCCAAGTAAACCCACAAACCCCTCAAGCTTAACCCTAACCTCCTAACCTCCAAGCCCCCTGCCGGCGGCTGATGTTCTCAAAGAGCTGTCCGAGGAATCCCTTCGCTACCTTCAAAGGGGGTTACTGCTGCAGGATTTAAAAATTCAGGATTTTAGGGTAGGGCTTTGGGGTTTCTGGCTCAGTTTAGGGAACGGGCCTTAGGGCCTGTCGTCTCCGGAGCTTACGGCTTCTGCGCTGACCCTGAGCCTTTGTAGGGTCCCTGCAATTCCATCATAGGAGTTTTAACACGTACCTACAAAAAAGTTGGTTTTGGTAGTTCAATGTAGGCAGTGGGGGATTCACATACACTTTAAACTCTTACTTTGACCCGTCGGCATAGGAAATTGAGCCAAAGGCTTCTGTACTGTCGGCAGGGTGCGCCCTCTTCTGTAGGGTTAAGGTTTAGGGAGTTTAAAGAAAGGGCTTCACAACTAAAATAGGGCTTTGTGGCTATAGGATACGATGGTTCCATTAAGGAGTATAGCAGGCAACTGTTTTCCAGTTCTCCCGATCCCTCACTGAAGCACGTAAATTCAACTTCTGGGCTTTCGGGGTACAGGTGGGTAAGAGTTTGAAGGCTTCGATGTCCCGAGTACTTGGTCTTCAAAGGTGATAGGATTTAATTAGTCTTTAGGGCTTAGGGCCAGGGTTTAGGGTTAAAGGTTGGGATTTAGGCTTCATGGTGTACGTAGGATTCAGGTTTAAGACGCACAAACAACGAAAGGCGACTTAATCCCAGGACGGGGGTGACTGGCATCTATGCCGTCATCAGGAGGTTGTGAAACAGGCCAATGAACTGGAACATTCCATGTGCTGTGCGTTTTGGTAGCAACAAGGATGACCCTTGCCTGTTTTTGACAGAGGCATCAAGCGAGAGGCCCCAAGTAGATGGAAACGACACTCGGTGCACCACACGTTTCAAAATGGATTCCCGGAAACTTGGAAGTCCTCGTCTTAAACCAATACCCTTCACCCTAGGCCCCAAACTCAGCAACCTAAGATCTAAAGTTCCTAAAGCCTGAGCTCTTAGAATCTCCAAGCGCCAGGAGCATGCCCTGCGTGCCGGACCTCAAACCTTACGAAGCACAGGGACGCCACCCCCGCTTTTAGGGTACAACCCCCAAGTCCTAAATCCTTAGCCCAAACCCCATAAGCTCCAATAGTGCGACCCGAATCCCTAACCCTGCTCAGCCCTTGCCCGCTCTGTAAACTTTGTGTTCAAGCCTCGATAAAGCCCAGAGGCCTTCCAATAGAACCCGATAACCCTTACAACAACCTTATTGATGTACCTACAAACCAAAGTGCCTCTGCGTAAACACCCTTCTGAAATCCTCATGAAAACCCAAAGATTATGAAATCCTCACACAAATCGAAAAGCCTCCTTACAAAACCCGACAAACTCGTTCATAACCCGTATGAAGTCCCTATCAACCTCTACCTGAACCCCAAAAGAATGTTGAATAATAGCATTTTAAAGGTGTCGGGACATTATGCTACCTGCTCTTGGGAGGTTAGGCATCCTCTTGTCCACTCCCGCTTTGAACCATAACGCACTTTAATTACCACAATATGTTTAATTGGGGTTTACATGAAGAAACATTAAAAACAACAACTAAGGAGACTATAACCCTAAACCCTAGACCCCGAACCCTAAACCCTGACTATAGCTCTATGAATCGACCTGGTAGAGCTGAGAGTTCCCGAGCATGTAGCCAGGCACGAGCATTGCCCCTTGCTCTTTGGCCAGCCTCCCCGGTTTGGAATGTAGGGTTGACGGTTTCTATTAGGAGGTGAAGGTCTTTATAAGGGTTCAGGGCTGAAGGTTTATATTCGGGTTTAGGGGCCCTAAACCCTAAACCCTAAACCCTAAACTTTGGAGGTTTACATCGGGGTTTTTTGGGGTTGAGGGTTTCTAGTCTAAACTTAGGGCTTCTGAGTTTAAGTGCAACGGGGCCTTTCGCGCTCGCTGCAGGCCCATCCTCTACCGTTGTGCACTCGAGTCGACATCCCGTCACCAGGCTTGCAATTGGTTTCAGGGTTCAGGGTTTCGGGTTGTGCTTTCGCGAACTAACTGGCTTAATTAAGTCTGAGTTTATGGCTCTGAGCTTGCTGGCCCTGGCATACGGTTCCCCGTTCAAATCTCCCTCTCTTCGCTTTCTCTGCACCGGAACCATACTACGAGATCCCTGGGTCCTCAAGAAACGATTGCGACCATTGAGGAAGCAGCATAAGAATGGAACCCCAGTTGCAACATAAAGTCAAGCGTAGGCTGCTATTTAGGGTTTTGGGTTTAGGAGTTTAGGGCTTAGCGTTTAGGGTTTAGGGCTTAGGACCAAATAAACAATCCAAGAAAGACTACATGTACGACTCGGCTTCGAAGCTCCGAATGAGCGCGACCGCACGACTGCACAGCCGAAGCGTGACGTGACACTTGCAACAACAGCAGTCTCAGAATCCGTGATGCTGCCTACTTGGAAGGGCAGGGGACTTAGTAAGTAGGTTATAAGTTGAGTTGTAAGTACCCTAAATGGAGTTGCCCTAATTATAACCCTACTTATGAACGACTTACTAAGTCCCCTGCCCCTCCAAATAAACCCTGACCAGAATCCCTAAACCCTAAACCGCGGGCCTCACAAATCCCAAGCGAGTGTTGGCACACGAGACCTGCGACCGATCTGCAGGACACAACGAGGGCCTACTGTCGTATCTAGCCTAACGTAGGGGCCTGAATAGGGTTCCGTTAAATGATTCCTTCACGGGATGCTATAAGGGATCTATGAAGGTGCTATAATATAGGGGCCTTAACAATTAAAACCCTTATACTATAACTATAACAAGGAATCCCCAAAATGGTCAAAAATTGGGCCCCTATATTAAGGCCCCAGGAGCCGGGAGATAATAGCTTGAAATACATCCACACATGTCACATGATGTATGATGCTGTCGACGAGTTGACGGTTTACGGCTCCTCTCCAAGGGATAGCATAACAGCCTGACCTTGGCTTTTGCACACAGGCCCTAAACCCTAAACCCTTTCCTGCGAATGACCCGGAATCTCCATGATCCCTTGGCTTCTCTGTATTTGGGTGATTCTGAAAAGTAGGGGTACCTTCTTTTGGGGTCCTTGTAATATGGATCCTACTATTTCGGGTATTGTACTAGGGTCCCCTACTTTCGGAAACTCCCATGTCGTGAGATGATGCGTAACCGGGACATGAGCCTTCCCGGAACATCAATGCTGGAGCTTGGAATCGACATGACATCCTTTCATTCAACTTTGTAAGCAATATAGGGGCCTTAAAGATTAATTACCTGTACTGTTTGGGGGTTCCAAAATGTAATTACAGTATAATGATAATGGGCCCCAGACTATACTCTAATTATTTTGGCCCCTACATTAACTCACCAGGTGACTTGCCTCGACGTCTTCACGGATTTTAAACATCTCCGATATGCCGCCGGGAATAATGATCGTGACATTCCGGGGGTACTCCTTCGCCAAGCACCTGGGCATGACCCTAAACCCTAAACCCATACCTAGGCGCCTGGGCACCTTTGAACGGCAGAGGTTTCGCGTCCAATTTAGATACTACAATATAAGGTCATATCATACACTTCACGTATAGTCTCCGTTGTAGTTCATTTTTTCGGTTAACCAAAAACTGTATTTATATCCTAACCATAAAACTGGTTAACCAGGTAACCAAACAAAGGAACTACAATGATTACTATAGGTAGTATGATAGAGTGTGACATTGGTATAGTAGTAGTAGGATGATATGGTGCAATATGGTGCAGTGCAATATCATAGTATAAGATAAAGTACGATGGTATGAAAGACACGACCAGTTGCCTTGCGACCAGTACAACCAGGTTTGCATTCTTCACGTATACAAGTGCTTTGTTTGGTTCAGTACTTCGAATTCCAAGCCGAGAAGGTGTAGTTCAGAGTGAGATTGTCAGTCAATGTCGGTCTCATGGTAGTCTTCGACTGTGGCTTCGAGAGTTTGGTTTAGGGCTGAGACCTGTCTTCGACAGTGCTTGCAGGTCAGCGGTGGAAGGAAGGGATCTCCGATAGAGTTGGGGTCAAGCAGCAAACCTCCGTTTAGACCCTTCCTAGCACTTCTTCGAACGAGGATGAAACCTTTCCCCTTAAATCTTCCTGTATCCCCAAACCCTACAAAATTGTAGGCTATGACCCCTTAATTAGAGGGTATAACCCTTGAAACAATAGGTTTTTGGATCCCCTAAATGTTCAGAAAAAACCACCCGAAGAGCGTCGGATGTGGCTCCACAGTTCTGAGGTCTGAACTCACGGATGGCCTCCGGGGTGGCCTCGGATTCCACAAGCCCCAGAGGCTCCAAAAGCACTCAGGCGGTAGGGTCTGGGCTTTAGGTGCTTTGGCTTCTAGTTTGGGGCCTGAAGTGTAGGGTGTAGAGGGTTTATGGCTCAGATGTGAACATCCTGTACATGTTCACAAGGCTGCATTTGACTCCACAAGATTCCGCAAGCAATATGTCCATCAGGCTCCTCTCCTAAACCCTAAACACTAAACTTCGTAGTCGTATTTTGGTAAGGCATTCCCGGTGCTAAAAATCCGAGTCGCAGGTTTGTACCCGTAGTAGCGCAGAAGTCTCCCAGCAACCGGTAGTTTGCCGAGAACGCTCGCGCCCACAAAGTTGGGCAAATAGCCTGCAAACGACTGGAGAGTTGGGGACTTATGTAGCTGTAGTTATTTGACTATATTGATTAATTATATACTGTACTATGATATTACAACCATACTAGATGTCATCCCCCACAATGCTATAGTTTACTAACTTGAACTACACCTGTGCCGTAGTCATAAGAGGAGCTTGACTAGCGATTTCGAGATTGATACAAGGAGTTCCGGGGCTGAGGACATTAACAACAACTAGGATGCCCAGTTAGGGTTTTTTTATATGGGCCCTTTTCCGTCTGCATGAGCGTCCGAAAAGGGGTTTAGGGGTTAGGGTTTAGAAGGGTATGGCTCCATGTTATAGTGTCTAATCTAGGATGCCCAGTAACCTGGGAATAAAAAGGGGCTCCCTTTTTTGGTATTGAGTCACGTTATAAGGAAGCTAGGACTACAATAAGGGAATAATGGTACTACAGTATTGGGCCTAATAGACAACGGCTATCGTGGTTTGGGTTCAGGGGTGCAGGCTGCAATCACAGTGGAGCTCATCATCTGCAAAACTCACGGAAGTCAGGGTTTATATCGGATGTTGAATTGGGCACGATGAGCAAGCCTTGCCGAAACTGCAGACAGACAGGCTGTGCTGGAAATGATAAGCGCTAAACCCTGGACTAGACTTCAAATGCGGAAGCGACGGTCTCTCACGGCCTTGGTTCAGCAGTTCGACGATGATGCCCGCCACGCCCCAAGGGAAGAAGCCATGGGGCGTCACGGCCAGAAGGTAATGACGATCCTGGCGGCATAGGCTTGGGCATATCTCCGAGCCTATGTTCTTTTTCTGCCCTAACCAACACGAACAGGAAACAGCAGCACAGTTCAGGGTCATGGTATTCTGAGTCGACAGGAAGATTCTTCAGGCTCCCATTTTTGGGAGTTTCCGAAAATAGGGGAGCCTAATATGGCACCCTAGTAGGATCCTTATTATAAGGACCCACAAATAAGGTAAATTAGGAATCTCCCATATAAGCCCCAAAACCCCCCAAATATGATGGCAGTCTCGCGCTTTCAGGTTTGCAGGGTTTAGTTGCAGGGGGTTTCAAGGTTTCGAGCTCTAGAAAGTAGATCCCCTAATTTGGGGCCCTACATTACCTAGGGTACTTTATAGGAACCCCCATTAAGGGATTTGGAGCTCAAAGACCTTAAGCAGTTTAGAGGTTGTGGAGATGGTGGTTAATACTATGCGAATGGCTTGCAACGTTAGGTTTAGGTTTAAACACCGGATGAGCCCTGAGCACAAAAGCCCGAAATCGAAGACCTAATTCCTCCATCCTAAAACCTAAACCGAGACCAACAAGCCTTGAAGCCCAGCCGGTTAGCATCCGCGGGCCTTCGTGAAGAGTTTTGTGACATCCTTGTCCGGATAAAACCGATGGCGATGCGCATTTGTCAACCTCGTGCCGTACTTGGAGAATCATGTGAGGTTATAAGTACCTTAATTCGGGTTACAAGTAGTTATAAGTTATACGTGGAGTTACCCTAACTATATCCCTAGTTACCAAGTCCCATGAACCTCCAAGTAATGTAAGATGCTTGAGCGAAATATCTGGGTGGTTGTCAAAATTAGGGTCCCTTTTTCGGTACCTTAAAATAAGGTGCTGCATTATAATAAGGACCCAAAAAGGGACCCTAATTTTGACAACCACCCATATGGGTGTAGGGATGCTCAGAAACCTCGGGAGCCCAGCTTGCACAAGGTTGGAGTCCAAGCTGAAGGCTGGGTTCGCAATTTCAATAATCGTGTTTAGGCTGCACTTTAAAGTTGGCATATTACAAATATTACCTGTAGTCTCCATTGTAGTTCCTTTTTGGGGTTACTTTACAGGATCCTTAATATATGATTGGTTAAACCACAAAAAGGAACTACAATGGAGACTATACGTAGTGTTTAGGGTACACTTTGGCATATTACAAATATTACCTGTAGTCTCCATTGTAGTTCCTTTTTGGGGTTACTTTACAGGATCCTTAATATATGATTGGTTAAACCACAAAAAGGAACTACAATGGAGACTATACGTAGTGTTTAGGGTACACTTTGGCATATTACAAATATTACCTGTAGTCTCCATTGTAGTTCCTTTTTGGGGTTACTTTACAGGATCCTTAATATATGATTGGTTAAACCACAAAAAGGAACTACAATGGAGACTATACGTAGTGTTTAGGGTACACTTTGGCATATTACAAATATTACCTGTAGTCTCCATTGTATTTCCTTTTTGGGGTTACCTTATAGGATCCTTAATATAATTGGTTAATATAATTGGTTAAACCACAAAAAGGAACTACCATGGAGACTATAGGTCGTGTTTAGGGTACACTTTGGCATATTGCCCTAAGGGTCCATGTACTCATATATAGTATATACATTGGCCTTAAAGTACTCCCTGTATAGCTACTTTGGGCCCAAAGTATATGCTATATGGGTACATGGACCCTCAGGGTTACGGTATACTTGTAGTCTAATCTAGGACCCCAAAAAAGCACATAAGCAAAAATTAGGATAGGGATATCCCATACAAACCCCCTTCATAAGGAAGCCCAATAAGGTAGGGATATCCCTATAAAATGTTTATGCTTATGTGCCTTTTTGGGTCCCTACTTGAAGGATCATGGGACTTAGTAACTAGGGTTATAATTAGGGTAACTCTACTTATAACTACTTATAACCCCAATTAAGGTACTTATAACCTCACTTACTAAGTCCCATGATCCTTTAAGTACAATGAGGAGCCCTGGAGCTGTTAGTGATTCACGCTCCTATCTTACAAGGGGTTCTGTGACAGACGGCCTATGTTTGGGATGCAGTAGGCAGTAAACGAGGCCCGCAACACAACACCCAGACCTCAAAATCTGCAAGCTCGTCATGAAGTTTCTGTGCTGTGGAATCAGGGATCATAAGTGCATCTTTCATGGTGTAACGCAGGATTCTAGACTCCACTCAAGGCCCGAAAGCCCAAAACGGTCTGAAACGGTTACGAGCCTCTAGTTCCGAAGTACAGAGCAGATGATGCATGCGCACCGCAATTCGGTACGCAGCACTCGAACCCTCGATCCAATCGGAAGCCAAAACAGACTCCGAACCGCTGTAGCTGTAGCTTCTGTGCCGTAGCCCTCGAATTCTGAGCACCCCTTGAAAAGTAGTCTCCATTGTAGTTCCTTTTTGGCACTACCTTGTAGGATTCCGACCATATACCGGGTTAAATCAAAAAAGGAACTACAATGGAGACTATAGGTACCGCACATCGGAACATGACTGAATGTCTGTAAGCGTATGACTGGCGGATAAGTGGAAGCCACCAGCGTGCTGTGATATCGCACTCTTTGGCCATCGGAAGTAGCCTGGGTTGAGGTGTCGCTACCTGTAGTCTCCATGGTAGTTCCTTTTTGGGGTTACCTTATAGGATCCTTAATATATATTTGGTTAAGCCAGAAAAGGAACTACAATGGAGACTATAGGTGATACAGGTTTATGATCTGCAGCCCAAGTGTATGTAGACGGGCGGCGATATCTTTGGCTAAGGAAGACGGAAAATGCACTATCTGTCTGTCGATCTCATCTATGCTGTATCTTCCTGCCACAACTCTGCAACGGCCTTATGATGGTGTAGAATGTGAACTAACTTTACAAGAGGATACAGTAATAACCCCATGATACAGGATCTTAGTTGTAGAGAATGACTTAATTCCTGTAAAGAGGCTATGTCGGGTACATGTGCAAGTCTAGGAGGACGACCGCCTCAAGCCCAAAAGTTCCAGAAATATCTGATCCAGAAACAGTCAGTCAAGCCCAAACCCACGGCCCTAGAACTCGAAACTCTATACCTGGCCGAAGCCCTATACCCTCCAGTCTATGTCGGTTCATCCAGATGCCCTGCAAGAAACGGAAGTAGAATCTACAATATACAATAACAATATACAAAAATACACTACTTCTTCTGTCGAGATCTATTAAGAGACCTATACACTGCCAAGCCCTAGCACACAAAGTGCTACGCTGTAAGGTTTAAGGAGGAGGAGTCTACGGCTTCGAGGGCTTCTAGGGTTGACGTGGTGTTTGGAGGTCGTAGCCTAAACCCTCGGGGATGTAGGATTTGTGCCTGAACCTCAAGTCCAAACTAGCCGCCAAGAAAGCCACCAATGTGAACCCCAGGCCCGAAACACCCACCGACCCTCAAAGACCAAAACCCCAATTCGACAGCCCTTCTCAGACCTTTCGGAACCCTAGGGCTTATAAGGCGTGGGGCTACTATAGTAAGATTAGATTCTTAGATAACGCCTTAAAGGGGTTATCAAGGGGATGCTGTTGTTGGGTTGCCAGGCTATATTGGATGATTGGAGAAGTTTACTGTACAATCACACACACACACACACATACTGTCTCTGTCTTTCCTTTACATGTGTATATAAATCTACCCAAACTGTGAGTGTGTGTATACATGTGTATATATATATATATATATATACATATACATATGTATATATGTATATATATATATATATGTATATAGTTCTGGAGAGTGCGTCGGAAAACAGGCCCGTGTTTTTCGAGTAAGATAAACGAGTATTTGATATGTATGTACGAATTTCTGGAACAGCGGGTTATCTCCAACCACAGATCTCAACGATGACGATATGATCCTCCATAAGCTTGTCTATAGTATCATGCCGTATGGTGGTTGCTAAACACACTTATGCAGTAGAGACTCGGGATTCTATACACACATACACATAAATACGTACTTGTATACATGCATGTGCACGCAGCCCCAGTAGAACTTGATCACCCCAAACCCCATGGCTTAGGGTTTAGGGCTTGGTTTGGTGGTTTACGGTTTAAGATTTCGGGCCGGCAGTCGAAGGCACAGAAAAGCCGAATACATAATGAAGTCGAACTAGTAAACTCTAGAAAACACCCAAACAACGAGAGATGTAAACCCAAAACCTAAACTTCAAGTCCGCAATCCTTCACCCGTAGGGTACCAGACTTTTCTAACCTCCAAACACCAAAAAACCTCTTTGCCCTGATCTCCAGTCCGATATCGGCAAACACGCCCAGGAGTTAACGAAACCCCTGAACCCCAGAACAAGCGGTATACTCCAAGTTCTATACCTTAAAACTCCAAATTCTACACCACAGAACTCCAAAGTCTAAACCCTAAACCTCTGAAAGCAACCCTTAGAAGGCTCAGGTCGTCGAGCAGCTGATCCAAGCCGATCCCAAGAACGGAAGCCGCAGCGAGGAAACGCAAGCCTCGGCTCCGGGCTGTTTAAGGTCATACTTGAAGGGCCATGGTCAGTATAAGTAGGGTTATAAATAAGGTAACTTTACTTATGAACCATATTAGGGGACATATAAGCCCACTTATAGCTACCCATGAACCTCCAAGTAAAGGATTATGTTTAACCCGAAGGCTCCATGTATCATTATAGTAGATACTTAAGCCGTAAAAGGGGTCCGTATATAGGTACTTTAAGGCTTTAAGGCCTACGTATATGCTGTATGGGGACATGAGGTTAGTTTGGGTTTCTAGGCTGCTGCGTGTGGTTGCAAGGGTTTGGGGGCTTTCTGAAGTGAAAGTTCTGAAGGCTTGTAGGTGTAGGGCTTAGGATTAAGGCCTTTGTCTACTGGAACTTGTTGGAGTTGTATAGGCTTCCGAACCTTGGGAATGCAGGGTGGGTTAAGCGAGATGTCGTCGGACAACCAAGGCAACAATAATGCAGGAGATCCTTACCTTTGGCATCCATTGTGGTTCCCTTTTGGGGGTTACCTCACCTAACTGTATGAATGGTTAAAACAAAAGAAGGAACTCCAATGCAGACTATAGGTACGATAGAGGTGTAGGGGCGTAGCCTTGTGCAAGCAGAAGAGGTGTTTAGTGATACATTGCTTGACAGATCCCTACAGCTATGATGAGAAACCCTACACGGAACCAGATAAATAATTCCCCAGGCTTCTAAACCAGCTGATTTCAACCCGGCTGCAACTACGAACCGCATTAGCTGCAGGCGGGTCTATAGAGGCTCACGGTTCTCATGGCTATTGTTCCTGGTGCTCTTACTCTTCTCCATTTCTACAGCTGAAGTTCTGAGTCTTCGGGCTTGGTTGCACCGTCCTGACCTGCGGCTCTGGTTGACGGATTTGCGCCAAGAGATTGTTTAGGGTTTATGCAACCCGTATACGCCTAAGCCCCGAAACCTTCATGAAATCAGAAACTCCTGGACCCAAAGCACCTAAACAGTAGATCCCTAGACCCTTTAAAATCCCCAAACCCGAAGACCTTGAACCCGGCTTCTTAAAGCCTACACCCGAAAGCCGGACTCAGCAAAATTCTAATTTCCAAGACACTTCTGCGCCGAAAACATGAAACCAAATGGCCTCAAGCCTTATAGGCCCTAGGCAAAATACCCCAGACCCGTGCACACAAGGACTTAAGACCACCCAAATTCTCGACCTTGAACCCAACAGCTTGACCAAACATACGTAATCCTCGACGAACCTCTACACAAACCCAAAAGCTCAAAACAATTAATCCTCCCTGCAGGGAGCTGCGTCGGATCGGGCTTGCAAACGCGCTGCCTCGGAGTGCAAGCAAGTTTGCTGGTGCAGTGTTTATGGAAGAGGATCTACGGAAGCAGCAGGAGGAGGAGAGGGAGGAGGAGGGGAAGGTGGATTGCCTGAGGTGAAGGGTTCAACGCTACCAGGATTAGTGACTAGTGCTGCTGCTGGCTTCAGGGAAAACAACTGAATGATTCAAGAAAGCCTTGGGTGAGGCATGTTGTTCTGAGACATGTGCCTGCTGTCGATCTACTGCTACTGCTACGACCACTATTCTTATTACTACTATTTCTACGATAAAGATAAAAAGTACTACTACTGCTACTTCTACTTCTGCTACTGCTACTAGACTACTGCTAGTAGTGCCTGGGCCCAGGAAACATCCGGCAGCCGTCGACACCGTTACTTGGATGGACAATGGGCGGAGCCATTGGAGAATGGTCAAATTCAGCCACTAGGGCTGAGCCATGCCATTTGGCCACCTGGGTGGCGCCCATATTTTCAGAGGGAATTCCCCCGATTCTCAAGAGATTAGAACAGCCTAAACCACTACTACCACTACTACCACTACTACCACTGCTACTACTACTACTACTACTACTACTACTACTCCCACTGCTACAGTTGCTACTACTCCTGCTACTACTACTACGGCTACTGCTACTGCTACTGCTACTGCTACTGCTACTGCTACTGCTACTGCTGCTGCTACTGTTACTGCTACTGCTACTGCTACTCCTACTCCTACTGCTACTACTACTACTACTACTACTACTACTACTACTACTACTATTACTATTATTCCTATCACTACTACTACAACTACTACGGCGACGACGACTACCACTACTGCTTGAGGGTCCAAGAGCCCTATTGGGGCCCTAGTGATTAGGACAGAGTTCTGGCATATTACCGCACAAACAATAGTACGAATGGTAATACTATGTGTCAAGAGACACTATTCATCTTGTTAACCTGGGCTTAAACTTCTGAGGTTCTGTGGCAAATCTGCTGACCACTACTCGCAGCCTTGGTTTTCAGCGCCGACGGCGTCTCGCAAGCGGCCGCCTGCACCGTGCTTCCGCCTCTCCCATTTGCGAAGTTCGCAGCACACATGCTGAGTGTGGCGTTTGAGCCATTTCTGTTTTGGAAGAACCTGTTTCACAAACTTCTGGAGCGGCTGTCAATGTGAAGGCTTGTCAAACAGCTGGCATCAGTGCGAGAGTTGCTTTGGCTAGCAGGCAGAACTGGTCGAGCACCCGCTCCAACACGGCGGAATCCTCCTAAAATTCAATTTGTATTCTAGGCTAAAACCAAAAGCCCAAAACCCACCGAAGTAGTATTGGTAAAGAACTGAAACAAATATTGTCAGCACTTGCTAGCAAGAGACCCGGCCGCAGCGATGGGAAAGCCACAGGCCATGCAAGACCAAATTCCGAATGAACGGGTTGTACACCTTAAGATGTGTCTCCAAGGTTTCATCTGAAAGCCCAGCCTTTGCAGCCTTCTCCCATGCCCGTGTTTCTGTTAGCTCGTGGAAAAGCTTTGCATGCATCATCCGCTGATTGCAGCCCCCAAACTGCAAACCGTGGGCATCAGCAACAAGGTTGATTTTTTTTGGGCCCTTTATTTTTTTGTTTGGTCCTTTTATTTGTTGTTTTTGCTTGCCTTGGGTTTTCCTAGGGAAAACACTATTTCCTTGCGTTTTGGACGAATTGAGTGTGATTCTCTGTGGTTTGCTTTAAGAAAACATATTTTCCTCATTTTCCCTTA